GCATCACCTTGGCCGTCTCTTCCGCTGTCTCGCCAAATGACCTCATTATACTTCGTGGAGACTTTTGTTGGCCCCCTCTCCACATCACCATCTGTGCCGCATCTGTCATCCTGTCAGCGTCTCATCGCACACGACGCATCTCTTGACGTCTGATTACCGATGACGACCAACCAGGAACAAAACCTGGCATCCTGGTACAGCACTCACGATGAGCGAGATGAAGCTGCAAAATCTTCCGGCCGCCCACTACAGCAACATCATGCTGCCTTTCCGGGGTAGAGGAGCAGAAGCAGGAACCGATACGGATCCCTCTCTCATTATCAGCTATGGGCAGTGGGCACGGTTCATGGACGCCGAAGCGGATCCTCACTTGCACCGATAACTTCCATTCTCGATTGCTCCCAAGGAGCCTTGATGACGGAGAAGGGGGCAAGAAGCTTTCCATGCCATGCTTCCCCAGGGTGCAAGCCGCGTGGTGTTGCTCGCCGAACTACAGGATACGCAATGATTGCCATGCACCCAAGGACGCCTCTTCAGCTAGAGAGTCCGCGTGTCCATATCGAAGGCGTTCTTCTGGTGCGGCGACCGCCGAAGAGGAAACTGTTCATTCGCCCGAGCGCTGCATGACTTCCGACGGCAGCGGGACACTAATGCCATCACTTGCACCACGCACGGCCGACCACAAGAAATATGTCGTGGTTTAGGATGACTCGGGCTCCGGAGTTTGGCACCTGACCACTCGGAGAGATGCAAAAGACGCAATGGATCACGGCAGAAACGATGGCATAAGTCAACGGTCGCTTCAGAATCGTCTCCCGCTGCACTTGACGTTAGTCCCCGCGTGGGCAGCATCTTCTAACGACCAAAGTTTGAGACGGTCTTCTCCCGAAAGCCAATCTGCCCCCCCTCTTCGCCAGACTGGAGCCGTGATCAGCAGTATTGATCGAGATGGCGTATGTGACAGACAGCCAGCACAGCTGATTTATTCTCCATCGAACAGTCCCGCCTTCTTGGCGACCAGTCCCCAACGAACTCGGGTGGCCAATGCCGTAAGAAAAACCACAGACACCAGGCCTTTTCATGATTCAACCATTGCCACCTAGTAGCCTGTTAGGGACGACACTCCCATCATCCGCCTGACTTTAGTACCTCATACTATCTGACGTGGTAGCCTCGAGCTGAAAGGGTCTGGAAACTGAGCTGTACTAAACTATCCGTACAGACATACAACGCAACATAGCGACGAGACGTTGGGCTAGTCCGCCGATGATAGCTCGGAAGTTCCCTCCCCTGCACATGGGAGGTGCACAGATGCATTCCCCGACATTAGTTGAATGCAACCTTGCCAATCGCCAATGGCACTTAGATCCTGAAGCATAGAGCTTCATCTCTTGTTCTCCAACTTCTCTCAGATGGAAATGTAATCCCATCTCCAAGGATTCGTACGCGGGATGGTATACTACAGCTTAGATATTGGTTTTCATTCTGCAGGCTTCCAGCGGCTTAACCTACAACCCATGTGGTGAAACTAATTGCGGAGACGAGGGGACCTCTCCGACATCGCTATCCTAGACCGCCAGAGCCTGACCGCCAGGGAACCCCCTCTGTCTTTGTCGGTTCATCTCATTTCTCTATGCAAATGAACGCAAAGCTATCAGATAATCAGACGTTTCTCTCCCCTGCTGTTCGCGGTCCAACCACACTCAGTCATGGGGCGGGCACGACCATCGAGATAGCGGGACAGGGTTCAGAGAGGACCACCTTGAGGTTGCGCACCCACCAGGAAATGAGGTGTCGTTTACTTCCAGGGCACCAAACATCCTTAATTTTGACCCAGGAGATTTTGGTGAGAGTTTTTTTCTTCTCTGCCCCGCGGCCCTCTTTTTACCACTGCCGGCGAACCGCGGGCCTTGCGGCACATCATGTCAGCGTTCAGACCGTCCGTCTCCGGGGAAGACGGCATCTCCATTATGGATCCCAAGATCTGAAGACCCGGCCGCTGCTAGAGCTCAAGGCTATCACCAGATTGCGGATACCAACATCGGCTCATCTCCATCCCATACCGGGCAAGCTAATGCCGCACAAGACATTTAGTGACTAGCGCCGCTTGCTTGCTTGTTGGGCTGCGAATCCTTCAGAACAAATCTGGGAGAAGAGTGCCAGCTCTGTCTTGAACCGCCAGCCGTAAACAAAGCCGGTTGACGGCCTCGTTTGCCAGAACGAGAGAGGCAGAACACCAAGCCTTCTGTCTGGATTTTACCGTCCAAAGTGCATCCGGTTGGCTGAGAACCACTTGGATCGTCCAAATACTTCGAGACAAGCCGAAACATGTTATTTGACGATGGGCTGCGGCCAATTTTTGCGACCTGGTCGTTCAGCGCCCGGGAGTTAAGGTTGCGCTACCCTAATACCGCTTTAAGCGCCTGGCATGATAGAGCCCCTCCATCTCCCCTCTGCTCACATCGTCGACAGCAGAACCCTGACGTCAAGCCAACGGCGGTTTCACGACAGCGTCAAACACGATGGGATTGCTTCCTTTGACGCATCATGGTGGCGGGAATATCACTAATGACTGTTTTTTTTGAGATGCTGACGAAGTCTCAATGAAGGAGTCAGATCCAAGGGGTCGAATGCCGCAGGATCTGAACACGGGGTTCACAATCTAGCCCACTGTCTTAGACAAGAAGGCAACACCCAGGTTGAGGATGCCGAACGCTTTAACGATGGAGGACCATCCAGCAAGTGCAGTTTTAGCAATGGTTCCTCGATGTGGCAAATACATAACACTCAGTCATGCTTAGACACTGTACGACGACATTGCCGTGGTTCTTGGATCGGATGGCCTCGCACTCTGAGTCTCAGATCGGACAGCTCTGGGGGAGAACACATGGCCGGCTGCTACTATGATTTGTACGACTCTCCCCGGACGAGAGCATGAGTCTCTGTTGGTCTCTGCCGGTAAGTGGCATCAAGGCTCTAGACTGAGTAGAGATGTTGGATTCGCCTGCATGGCTTCTCGTGGTGGCATCGGACTCATCATCCCCGGCCCAATGTCTCAGATAGAGACATTCAAGAATCATGGGACACACATCCTACCCAGCTGGTCCTCTTCATTGTCCCTCCTCCGGGCAATTGTACCCGAACGGCCTTTCTAGAACCTGTAACACCTTTCGTGTGCTCTCCTTGAATAACCAAATAAGCCGCTACGGTTGTTTGATTTCTTTCCACGGCATCTTTAGGTCGGGCCATCTTCGTCGGTGTGATGCCTGGGCCGCCGTCGCGCAGGAAAAGAATAGCCCGTCAGCTTTCTATATGTTCATCTCCATCGTTTCTTACTACATCTGTTCGCCTACATCGTTTGGCACACGACACAACGTCCTACCCGCCTAGAAGCGCCTTTATGCTTCTTTTGTGGCTTTTGTGGATTTTGCCTCTCTGGAGAGATAGTCTGCGTGAAGCAGAAGGTCTTTTTAGGAAGTTGGGCTAGGGTTCAATCCCCGTTGGTGTCACCATCTCTCGACTGGTGTTTTGCCGGACAACATTTGCTTTCTTTTTAATACTTATGAATGGACAACACAATTCAGGATGTCTTCAATAATGGAGAGAAGATATGTCGAAAAAAGAAAACGTCAAAAACTGAGGTTTGAACCGGCATAAATAATGCTACAGCGAGACGCCAGGCATCTGTAGACTTTAAATGGCAGGTTCGCGTCAGTGAAGGAGAAGCCGCACTCGTAACCTTTCGGCCAAAGTGTACTTTCTCGCCCACCCCGACAGTACGCTCCAACTTGGCGGGCTATAGAGGACTGCGCGGAATACGTGGACTGCGTGTGGCCACCTTGGGTTGAGGACAACAAGGTTACGAAGGTTTGGGGGACCACAAAGGTGTTCTATGTCTCTTCAAAGGTGGTGAATCAGAGGTGGTGGCGTTCTTGTCCTGTGTGAAGCCTTGTGTCGGAGGCATATTGTGCTCTCTGAGATACACCGGCTTGTCTTGCCTAAAGGAGTGATTTCTTGCCTGGCTGCAGCGCAGGTTACGAGCGTCATCAAGTCGTAGCCAGCTTCGCTGGAAACTTCGACATCAACATGCTCTCTGCCCAACTAATCTCACATCGCATCTGTGACGAAGCTGGAGTGGCTGCTCACATCTCAATTAGTAGAAGATCCCACTCACCCCCAGAAATATTACCAAAATGTGACTGAAGCGAATACTAGATGTCATCTTTAGAGAATATGTCATGATCTTTCTCACCTCGTCACTCCTGCAGAAGGCGTAACCGAACTGGCCGCCCCATCTCACGCTGACCCTTTATGTCTCGGCTACCCGCTGACAGCTGGATACTGCAGTGTCTGACAGCTCAGACAAGAGCTTACGCTTACCTTGTTTTACTTTAGGATCCTAGTGCTCGTGGAAGCAACCTGGGCATCAATTGTAACGTCACATGTCTTTACGAGATATGGGCAGGGCAGAGAGAGTCAGTTTGAGGAGGCTCTTGCGGTCCAAAGTGTTGAAGGTCTCCTTCTAATGTGCATGTGGGTAAGCGTATGGTGGTAGTTAAGTGAAGGCGCCTGGTTTCTGTGGGTGTACTGGAATCAGCCTCGGCTCCTGTCTTTCCTGTGAGAGACATCTCAGATTGGCGGTGTTTATGTAGATTGATTTGTCTTACGAATGGTAAGATGGGACACAGAGGCTTTGAATAGTAGTGGCGGGGCGAGAGGCACGAGACTGTCTGGGGGCGGCGATATCTGTGCTACGATTAGTAGTGATGGGACGGCGAGAGGTAGCGAATATGAGAGAGTGGGAGGTTGTAAGAAGGTTCGCAAGGTTTCGGATGCTGGCGGCTTACTACTTCCTTTGCTGTGACATCTCGGGCAAATGCCTCTACTCGTTGTGGACAGGGGAGAATCGTATTTCCAATAGGGGACGGAGTGTTGTTGACGATGCCGTGCCTTCTTGTTAGTGGTGTTGCTTGTCGATTATCTGCTACAGCATATCGTGATCACTCGAGATTGAACATAATTGCTACAATCGAGAGAATGGCGACAAAAGTCAAAATGGTCTTGCCAAAGATACCTTTCTAGTGAGACGGGCTCGTAGTTAAGTTATGCATCACCTAGGATACCCGAAAGCCATCAGCAACCCGGAGAGCTGAGCAAGGTAGAATCACGTGAACGCACTGTATATTCATCCGGTCTACACCCAATACACCCACGAGAGTGAAGCCAAACCTATATACCCCCCCTCAACTCCGTTCCCGTTACCAGCCAGCAGGCGCCCGTCTAGGTCGACGGGTCAGGTCAAACTGGCTGGGTGGTGGAGTGGTTCAAGGTCGACAATCAAATTACGCCCACAGCCTACTCGACGACAGGCTACGAGTTCGAGTTCGATTCCCAGCAAGTGCGCCAGAGATGTAGCCCCCAGTTCAGCACCGGGGGGGTGAACTCTTTTGCTGCTTTGATTGGCTTTTACTACAAGAGGTGCTGAGGGTAACCTGGAGAAGTGAAGACCTCCGTGACAATATGAGGTTAACCGCTTCCATCTAGTAAAAGATCGTCCATATGCCTGCCAGAGCCCTATGGCGAATTTAAAACAGTCGTGATGGTCTATACGTCTCAGCACTCTCTCCGTCAATAACCAACAGGCGCACCCGACTGAAGCGGCATCAGACATTAGAACAAGTAAAGCAGATCTGCATTGGGTCGAAAGATGTTTAGAAAAAAAAAGTGAAGCCATTGGTTTGATCCCAACTCTGATTGATGACATATGTACACAGCGTTTTCTATCGCCTAGTTCCAAGTCCTACATCTTCAACACAAAGCCCTCAATTCCCCTCCGCGCGCTCACGCGGAAGAAGTCGCTAAAACCCCATATCGCCGTCTGCTTTTGCTACACCTCTACGATGCTTGTTGCTTTGACGGGGGGATGAAGGGCTTGCCCTCGAGGGTGTTGATGGCTTGGTCGGCGTAGATCATGTGGTGGCGGAGCTCGACGGGGGTGACGCCAGGGCGCTGGTCGGGGATGTTCTTCTCGAGTTTCTAGTGAGATAGTGTGTTAGCTACGAGCCTGATGTTTTCATACAAGGCAGAAGGAAGTGTTGGGATCGTTCCCTTCGTCGTGTTGGAACGGATGCGCGGGATGATGACGTACCAGGTTCTCGTAGACACACTTATTGAGCTTCCACTCGGCTGGTCGGCACTGGTAAAGCTGGTGGTTACGGTTCTCGATGCAGGTCCAGTGGGCCTTGAACTGCTCGAGGCAGTGGGTGTTGATATCCTTCAGCCTATGTAGTGTCGTTCCCATGTCAGCAATTCGATATTCCTATCAGATAACACCTGCTCTCGCGACCCATTAAGCGGCAGCCCGTCGGCAACATGACAACGAGGCTCGCTGCAATAGCAATGGATTCAACGTACACGCTGGAGGCGCATCTGGTGACCCGACGACCCTCCTTCAAACAATCAAACTCGCCGCGGCCCGTGCTGTCCGTCTTGCACTGCATGAAGTCGTCATTGTATTCGCGGCAACGGGCACCGATGAAGTAGGACGCCGACAGAAGAGGCGCAGAGCTGGCACCAATCTCCTTGACCTTGGGGATATCGTCGGGCAGAGGGGTCGTGTCGACCTGGAACTGCTGGTTGAACCTGGCGCTGGGTGTTAGCCTCTCTCTAAAGCTCTCTGTATCGCGATCGGCCCGGGGTCTTCTTCGGCGGTGGTTTCGCTCAATTGGCCTGCCTATTCGGCCTGGAAGGGGGACGGAGAACGTACTGAGGCCGTCGGTTAGCCATGGCTGCGATTGTTGTGATGGGACCTAGGAGGAGGGCGGAAGGGAGTGGTCGAATCGGCGGTTCGGATGGTCTCCAGAGCAAGCTTTCCGGGCAATGGACGCTACTACGAATTGATGTGAGGTCGATTTAGGAGACGCCTGATTGGATCGGTTGGGGGCGAGGCTGAAGTGGAACTAGTGTGGCTGGGGTATGGCCTATTTGCAAGGTGGCTCGGTCTGGGAAAGTGTGGCGCCCGGTGAAGGCTACAGCAGCAGCAAGCTCCGATTTATTATTTTCGCGTTGCTGGGCTCGGTCCTCGTCTCCCAAGGGTAGCTCTGAACAGCCTTGCGACTGATACCCAGCGAGCCATCTCCGCCAACGCCTGAGAGAGAAAAAAAGCGGTCGACCGCCTTCTTCGCGCCCTGGCTGCTCCTGGAAGTTTCTCTTTGTTTTGATACCCGCCAGTCCCTCACCTCAATTCCTTCATCGATTTTACGCTGAGCTTCTTGGCTTATTGCTTGCATTTCGCTGCAACTTCGCGCACCAATCGCCGTTATCCGACGACACACGCGACGGGCCTACGCTTTGCTTCGAACACCATCGAAAAAATCCTTAACGCTCATTCCACACCATGAGTTTGTTCGGAGCACCAAAGCCCACTGGGCAGACTGGAGGTCTCTTTGGGGGAGGTAGTTTCGGCGGCAGCACATTAGGACAGTCAACACAGCAGCAGCCGCAACAGCAACAACAGCAGCAGCAATCCGGCATGAGCTTGTTCGGAGGACAGAACCAGAACCAGACCCAGGGAGGCGCATTCGGCAACTCCATGGCTCAGTCTCAGCAGCCGCAGCAACAACAGCAGCAACAGCAGCAGCAACAACAAATGCCCAGCCTTTCGCAATCGCAAGCACAGCTCTCGAGCTCACTCTGGCAACCCGGAAGGGATACGCCTCGTACGTTTCTGTGCTCGTTCGGTAGCTTATTACGTTTGGATCAATGCTAACTTGTATACTGCAGAGAACCAAAAGCCCATTCCCGAACAAATGTCCCTCATCTTCGAGAAGTGGAACCCCACGAACCCCCACTGCGCGTTCAAGCACTACTTCTACAACAAAGTCGACGAAGCCTCCGTCCCCTTCTACAAGCCTGGCCCACACGAAGACCCGAGAGACTGGGAGGAGGCGCTGCAGAAGAAACCCGCGCCGGGCTACATCCCGGTTCTCTGCACAGGCTTCTCTGGCGTCGCGGCCCGCCTCCAGACGCAGAAAAAGGTAGTGGGGGAACTCAACGTGCGCCTGCACCAGATCAACGCCAGCCTTGACGCGATCCTCTCGCGGCACGACCTCGAGACCAGTGTGCGTGCCCTTGCGGCCCGTCGCCGTCACGTCGTCCTTCGCGAGCGGTGTCTCGCGCTGGCTGCCCGCGTGCAGGTGCTGCGCAACCGCGGATACGCTCTGAGTGGCGACGAGGATGATTTGCGACTCAAGCTGGCAGAGCTGGAGCGCAACGTGCAGGATCCTGCTCTGGAGGCGAGAGAGGAGGAGCTCTGGAGCCGGTTGATCGTGCTCAGAGACTACGCGGATCAGCTGATGAAGGAGACGAATAAGCCTGCTTTTGCGAGCGGCGAGGGTTTGAGCGAGGAGACTGAGCACAAGACGAAGAAGGTATGGTTTTGTACTCCGGCAGATCATTTGATTCTGGTCGCTAACAGTGATTATAGGTCTTGGAAGATTATGAGAAACAAATCCAGCATCTCAAGAAGGAAGTCGAGTCCATTACAAAAGACTTTGCGGACTGGGAGAAAGAGCGGAACCCGAGCTAGAGTATCTAGGTCGTTTGGGATGAAGGCTATTACCAGGTGTGTCATAATAGAGGACGGCGCGAGCGGACGCTTTTATGTACGGAATGAACGCAAAAGGGAGATGGCCTACTAGCCACATCAAGAAAAAGGACTGAGAGAGGGTATTCCCTCTAACAACGCAAGCAGCGAAGGAAAGCTTTGAACAAAAGTCGTGATTTCCTTTAACCCTAATTCCGATGTGATCTATACCCATAGTCCATCCAACCAGTCGTCGTCTACACTGTACAGATGATATTTATGTTACAACAGGGGTAATTATTCCCATTACACATCCCTGAGGCGGGTTGGTGGCTAGCAGCGCTTCATTAGTGCCGCAACCAGATTGCTCGTAGAAAGCACCCCCTCGCGGTTCTTGTTTTATTGTCGTGATCCTGAACTATGGCAAGCTCATCGATTTGTCGTTGGTGAAAGGCAAGTCCTTTACAGGACCTTGGAGGCGGCATCAATGACAAAAGGGGCTGGACAAGGAGTCTCTCGTTAGCATCTACTCTTAGATCTATTTGCATGTACAGGAAGAGAAAGGTTTGCGCTTACAGAGGTACAGAAGGACGGCAGAGACGACGACCTGCTGGATGGAGAAGTTGGCCTCGGCCTCCATCTGCTTGATCTCCTCCTCGGAAAGCTGGGGGGGCGCGACTGCAGGGAAAGATGGTCAGCGTTGCTTTCGGTGCGATTCGGCTCGCATAAGGTAGATACGGAACGTACATCCTCCGAACATCTTGTTGGTAGCTTGGTGGTATTGACTTGAAGGAAGTGGATAAGCGTGGGCGAGGGTGCAAGATGGACGGTTCGTTCGTGATCGGGTTTTCGCGTCGGTGCCAGGTACAGCGATGATGTCGTCGCAAAAATTTAGAGAAGCTCCATCGTTCGAGCTCCGTCCCGGCCGGTACGTACCTAGAGCCTCAGAGTTGAGGTCTCCACAGGCGCATGCTTAGATACTCGCTCTCCTTACCTAATCGGATTTGCACATGCACAAAAGCAAGGTCGCTTAGGTAAGGCGGCTGGTGAGCATAAGTTTATGAAAAGAGACAGGACCGGGAAACGTTTCTTGGTGGCAGGTCTGTGGTGGTGGTATACTCGGCTCTCTGACCGAGCACTCGGTTTCTCATCCGCGCACCTCCAACCCTTCAAACCAAACGACCGCTTGGGAATACACTGCGCGAACGAGAGCCCCAGAACCTAGTCTCCCGCCCGCCACCCTTCACGACCTGTCATTGGCCTTCACATCCGTTTCTGGACGTAATGGCGGCGGCTCATGGATGGCTCGCCGAGCAGTTTGCCCAACGCGCCAGGGCCCCAAAGTCAAGGAATGGCTGGGGAACTGGAGCCCACCTACAAGCTACGGATCATAATCCAACTGGCACTCATCATCAACCTGCTTCCCTATCGTTTTGACCGCGCTTATCAGCGAGCGCCGCTGCGCGTCCGATAAGGCCAAGTCTCACCTCCCACCCTCACCTCTCAGGGTGTTGGTGCGCGGTTCCCAGGGATCCCGTAACCAACCGAAAGAGTTGGTGTTTGGCGTCGGGTGTTTAGGGTGTCCGTTGCGGCGGCGAACGAGCGGGCGGTCCAGTATGCAGACACTGTAATCTGTATCTCACTCTGTAATTCGTAGGGAGATCTACTTGTGCATACCCAACCTTACTATGCTACTATGAAGGTAGGTAGGTATACGACTCAGGAACGGCATCCCTGGCCACGTCTGGTGGCCTGGTAATTATCCGTACCTTTGGTGTTTTGTATATGTAGTACGTACCGCTGTCTCGATAAGTAGCCGTTGCCGCAAAAAGAAAGAAACGAAAGGGCGGATGGCTGCCGGTCCTCGAGCTCGCCCTCACCGACTCCTTCATATTTGAAGAGCATTCCGGAAGCTGATCTGTTGTATACGTTTACTTTGGCTTCCATTTATTCTTCCCTAACAATCATCCCATCTGCTCAACAGAAACCTCTTTCGCGTCAAGACCTGGATTCAGGTGTTTTGAAACGGTTTTTGGGCTGCGTGCGAGAGCTTGGTCGCTTTTATCCCGAGTCGCATCTCGGATCGCAAGTTGGTGGCGACAAGGGTGTTACTTCTTGAGCTACAACGATATCGGCCCCAGATCCGAGCAATACTTCTATTCGCACGACTCTCTCAACCACAACACCTGCCCTTCTTCTCTTTCTCTCTTCTTTTCTATTCTTCTTCAAGACACACCTCCGACATTGTAGAGTCTCACTGGCATCTTCATCTTCTTTGTGTGAATTGCCACTCTACTCACTTCACACAATGGCATCACTGAGATTGCCCCTCCCCCGCCAGATTCGGCTGGCTGCCCCGAGGTCAAGGATCGCCGCCCGCCAGACACCTGCTTCCTCGTGGGTTTGCAACTCATGTGTGTCAAGCTCGGCATCGTCCTCGCGGATTCCCCGTGTGAGGACTTTCAGCGCCTTTGCAGCTCTTCAGAATGCCACCAGTGCAAAGATTGGCTCAGTCGATCCCTCCCTTGAGCCGCTGCAGAGGCCCGAGTCCTTTATTCCCCGACACATCGGACCTGATGTTACCGATGCTGAGGCCATGCTGAAGGCGCTCGACCCTCCGGCAAAGTCAATTGACGAGTTTATTGCCCAGGTTGTCCCTCCGGATGTCATCTCCGAGAGGAAGACATTTGGTGCTTGGGACAATGAGGGCCCCCTCGATGAGAGCAAAGTTCTGGCGAGAGCCACTGCCTGGGCCAAGGCCAACGAGGCGGCTCCGAAGCCTCTTATCGGTGCTGGATACAACCCCAGCGTCACGCCCCGTGTAATTCAGACCAACGTCCTCGAGAGCCCTGCTTGGTACACCAGTTACACCCCCTACCAACCCGAAATCAGCCAGGGCCGCCTTGAGTCGCTTCTTAACTACCAGACTATGGTGTCCGATTTGACCGGGCTCCCCATTGCCAACGCCAGTCTGTTGGATGAGGGTACGGCCGCCGCTGAGGCCATGACTCTCTCCATGAACGCTCTTTCATCATCCCGGGCCAAGAGACCCGGCAAGACCTTTGTTGTCTCACACCTCGTTCACCCTCAGTCTATTTCAGTCATCCAGAGCAGAGCTCAGGGATTTGGCATCAAGGTCGAGGTTATCGACGTCAACGCAGCGGATTCTGCAGAGAAAATCAAGGCACTGGGGCAGGACTTGGTTGGTGTCATGGTCCAGTACCCTGACACCCAGGGCAAGGTTGAGGACTTCAAGGGACTCTCCGAGCTTGTTCATGAGCAGGGTGCCCTCCTCAGTGCCGCCACCGACCTGCTTGCCCTGACGGTTCTCACGCCACCCGGCGAGTGGGGTGCTGACATTGCCTTTGGCAGTGCCCAGCGCTTCGGTGTTCCTCTCGGCTTCGGTGGACCCCACGCCGCCTTCTTTGCCGTAAAGGAGGCCCACAAGCGCCGCATGCCCGGTCGCTTGGTCGGTGTCTCCAAGGACCGAAACGGCAACCGTGCCTTGAGACTGGCTCTGCAGACCCGTGAGCAGCACATCCGTCGTGAGAAGGCAACCAGCAACGTCTGCACTGCTCAGGCTCTTTTGGCCAACATGGCTGCCCTGTTTGCCGTTTACCACGGACCCGAGGGCCTGAAGGAGATTGCCTCGAGATTGGTTCGTCTTGCCCGTGGAGTCCAGGCCGTTGCCGAGGCCTCGGGTCTGGAGACCGAGCAGAGCGGCGCCAGCCCTGATGGCAAGGTTCTGTTCGACACCGTCGTCATCAAGGCCAGTGACCGTTCTCAGAAGATCCTGGCCGAGGCCAAGAAGGCTGGTCTGGGCTTCCGCGATTTTGGAAACGGTGATATTGGCATCAGCGTCAACGAGCACGTCACCGAGGAGGTGTTCAAGTCCATTGCCGCCGTCCTCGGCAGCGCTACCGGTACCCAGACCGCAGAGGTTGCGAACAAGGCCTACGGTGCTCTCACCCAGGACATCACCGAGCTCCTTCCCGCTACTCTTCGCCGCCAATCCGCGTACCTCACTCACCCCGTCTTCAACACTCACCGCAGTGAGACCGAGATCCTCCGATACATTCACTACCTCCAGTCCAAGGATCTGTCTCTTGTTCACTCCATGATCCCTCTCGGATCCTGCACCATGAAGTTGAACGGCGCGACGGAGATGGCTCTGATCACCCTCCCCGGATTCTCCACCATCCACCCTCACACGCCCGCAAGCGAGCTCCCGGGCTACACTGCCTTGATTGAGAGTCTCTCTGACCAGCTGAAGGGTATCACATCCATGGATGCTGTCTCTCTGCAGCCCAACTCTGGCGCTCAGGGTGAGTTTGCCGGTCTCCAGGCCATCCGCAAGCATCTCCTCTCCCAGCCCGGTGGTCAGAAGCGTGACATTTGCTTGATTCCCGTTTCCGCCCACGGCACCAACCCTGCATCCGCTGCCATGGCCGGCATGCGTGTCGTCCCCATCAAGTGCGACCAGAAGACCGGTAACCTTGACATCGAGGACTTGGAGGCTAAGTGCAAGAAGCACGCCGAGGAGTTGGGTGCCTTCATGGTCACCTACCCTAGCACCTACGGTGTCTACGAGCCCGCTGTGAAGAAGGCTTGTGAGCTCGTCCACAAGTACGGCGGTCAGGTCTACATGGACGGTGCCAACATGAACGCCCAGATCGGTATCGCCTCGCCCGGCGAGATCGGCGCCGACGTCTGCCATCTCAACCTCCACAAGACCTTCTGCATTCCCCACGGCGGTGGTGGGCCCGGTGTCGGACCCATTTGCGTCAAGGAGCACCTCGCTCCCTTCCTGCCCGGTCTCGCCCACGACGCCGACCAGGCCATGGTTTCCAGCGCCCCCTTTGGCAGCGCCGGTATCCTCCCCATCAGCTGGGCTTACAACGCACTGATGGGCAACGACGGTCTCCGTCTCGCCACCAAGACCGCCATCCTCAACGCCAACTACATCCTCGCCCGCCTCAAGCCTCATTACAAGATCCTCTACACCAACGAGAACGGCCGCTGCGCGCACGAGTTCATCCTCGATGCCCGTCCCTTCATCGCCACCGCCGGCGTCGAGGCCATTGACATTGCCAAGCGTCTCCAGGACTACGGCTTCCACGCCCCGACCATGAGCTTCCCCGTTGCCAACACACTCATGATTGAGCCTACGGAGAGTGAGAGCAAGGAGGAACTCGACCGCTTCGTCGACGCCCTCATCAGCATTCGCGAGGAGATTCGCGAGGTCGAGGAGGGCAAGCAGCCTCGTGAGGGTAACGTTCTCCGCATGGCGCCTCACCCCCAGATGGATGTCATCTTGGGTGACGGCGAGGGCAAGTGGGACCGTCCTTACTCCCGCGAGAAGGCTGCGTACCCCCTGCCTCACCTCAAGGAGAAGAAGTTCTGGCCTAGCGTGGCTCGCGTTGACGACAGTAAGCTTTGTCCTTTTCCTGATTGATATTGGAATCTTTACTAACAGAGTACAGCATACGGTGACACTCACCTGTTCTGCACGTGCCCTCCTGTCGAGGATACCACAGCAGAGTAAATCGATGATTCTGCATCCGATAGACATGATACCAGCAGACCATAGATTTGTGCCTGCATGACAGCTTTCATGTTTTCAACACTCGAACGGCTAGGCGATCTCAGACGGGGCATCTACCCTGCTGACATCCCTCTTGTTCCTTGACATCCTTCAACATTTTTCCAATCATCTCTTAGCAAGCGGGGATTTGAGTTCCTACTATTTCAACAGGGAATACACATACACCTTCATGTTTACTATATATGAATGTGCGGGCGGGTTTATGGGGCCGGAGACATGGGCCACCGGGGAGTTTTAACAACAAAACAACGAAAATGGTTGTTTTGTTGGGGCTATTGCATTATCGGGCGTGCGAATTTGGTTTTGGTTATCTAGGTACCTAGACTGGCATTTCTAGCCGGGAAAAATATTGATATTGATAAGTTCAACTTGAAGTGCCTGGTGGTGTTTGGAATGATGTGTGCCATAATGATCGCCTTTCCACCCTCTTCATGTTTTGGTGGAATCATACCCAGAAGAAGCCTTCCAACTGCTTACTTTCATGGTCTTTGGCTCTAGTGGGGAGTCTTTAGACAGCGTCTACCGCCCTAGGCAAAATCAACTCTTCGGGAACTGAGCAGGTAGGGTGGCAGTGTTTTGTCATCCAGAGAGCATCCTTTCCATGATAGAAAACCCTGCGAGAAATGGGGTTTTGGGTATCTAATCTGACTGATGACTTTCCATGGTAGCCATGTGCTTCTAGGCGGTCGGATTACATGCAGTGATGACCCGAAGATTCAAGAGACTTTGTGTTCCCCGGTACACCGAGCCGACCCCACTCGGCGGTCCGGCCTTCCTGATCAGGACGCCGTAACCTTCCAGGTTCCCACCTCAAAACTCCCCCAGAACTACGGCTCATCACCTGTGAGCTCACCTTACTCACCCTCATCTCATATCTCGCTCTATCGTCTCTCGTCAGTTGATTGTCGCGGACTTTCATCAATTGAGCGTGTCCTGGCTCACAAGTAAGCCAAGATGGTCCGGATTACGACTTTAGCAGTCTCCGGACTCGCGCTCCTCACTCGTTTCGCCTCCGCGGTCGCGACGCAGGCAGACATCGAGTCGCCCGACTTTACCACCCTCTCGGTGCCGGAGCACCCGCACCACGCCATCCGCATCAAGGAGCAGAGCGATGAGATTTGTAACGCGGGATCGAGGCAGTGGACTGGGTGGCTAGACACCGGTGGAAAGCACCTCTTCTTCTGTGAGTGAAATGTGCCCAATAGATTGGAAGTGAACGCGCGACTAAAGCGATAATGATAGGGTATTTCGAGAGTCTGAACGATCCCGAGAATGACCCCCTCAGCCTCTGGATGACAGGCGGACCAGGCGGCAGCGGCCTCGTAGGCCTCATGCTGGAACTCGGGCCCTGCCTCATCAACGACAATGGCACAGGCACAGTCCACAACCCCTACGCCTGGAACGCAAACACCTCCATGATCTTCGTCGACCAGCCCGCCGGCACGGGGCTCTCCTACTACGACGAGGACGTCACCCCGCCCGCGACGTCCTACACCGCCGCCGAGGACATGAACATCTTCCTCCGCATCTTCTACCAGGCCTTCCCCGGCCTCGCCACCGCGCCCTTCCACATCGTAGGCGAGAGCTACGGCGGGCACTACATCCCGGCCCTCGCGGCCGAGATCGTCTCCTACAACACCGGCTCCCCGCCTCCTGAGTTCAAGGTCCCACTGGCGTCGGTGCTCATCGGAAATGGCTACGTCTCGCCTGCCGACACGACGTGGGGCTTCTACGATACCCTCTGCACCACCAAGCCCGGCGTTCCGGAGCCCGTGTTTAACGAGAGCATGTGTGGGTTGATTGCCGATGCGCTGCCGCGGTGCATGTACCTCCAGCAGGCATGCTACGCCTTCCCGGACCCCATCGTCTGCGGCGCCGCGACGGACTTCTGCTTCGGGCACGTGGATCTGCTGTATTACCAGGACGTCAAGGCCGGCGGACGGAATCCGTTTGATATTACGCGGCCATGCGAAACGGAGAATATCTGCTACGGTGCCGGGGATGGGATTGAGAAGTACATCAAGACGGAGCGGGTGCTTGCCGCGCTCGAGGTTCCGGAGGCGGTGGGTAAGAACTTTAGTCTCATTTCCATGGACGTCAACGAGCGGTTCGAGCTTGCGGGGGATGTGTTTTTGAGTACCGAGGCAGATGTCAAGTACATCCTCGAGAATGGGGTCGATGTGCTCGTGTATAACGGCGACTTGGACCTCGCGTGCAACACGGCTGGTAACGTGCGGTGGACGAATAAGTTGTCGTGGGCTGGGCAGGTTGAGTTTGTGGCTAAGGAGCTCGAGCCGTGGTTCGCTGTCAAGAAGGGAGGGGAGACGGTTAAGGCGGGCATGTGGAAGCAGGTTTCTAAGAAAATGAGGGGGAGTAAGGAGACGAGGCTTGCGTTTGTGACTGTTGCGGGGTCGGGGCATATGGTGCCGTTGGACCAGCCTGAAGTTGGGTTGCAGATGGTGAGGAATTGGTTGTCTGGGGATTTTGGCAAGGCTGTGAAGGGTGGTCCGGAGATGGTGGTCCAGGGCCAGAAGGAATTCGTGTCTTTGGAGTTGTAGTCTGACACGTTTGATGACAGAAGTTGGACACTTTGACTCGTTTGTTTTGGTAGCTGCTGCTGGATGTGTGGTTGCGTGAACTTTGATGTATACTATTCTTACGAAATCGCCAAGAGAAAGACACGAGTGTAACTATTCGAAAGGCAGCGAAGACTTCAAGAGCACGACTATGTGAGGAAAGCTGAAATTGATATGAGTTCGTCCTCACGGTGTAAGTAGCCCACAGACCACCAAGCTGAAGACATTCTGCGAGAAGCTCGGTGTGCGCATCATCGACTACACTCAGGGCGACTTGATCGATCTCCTTCAGCAAGATGGTGCCATCTTCAATCTTACCGTTGATAATGTCAGCAACGACCATAGGCTGTTCGAATCTGCCCATCTGTACACCATAACAGAGGCCAAGTCCATTCAAGTTGGGGGCGAGTTCAGTACCTTCTCCATTGTCAAACTTGCACTGAGAGCGTCACTTCCGGGTTTCATGAGTGGAAGCAAGCGAAAGTCCAAATATCGGCTGCTGGATCAAGCGTCGGTTACCTGACCATATTGGGGAATCTGGCCGTCGAGAAAAAAGGTCGAGATTGTTATTGGCGAGGAGTTGAGTTTTGGATAAGTCATCGATGGCTTGAGAAAACTTTGAACTGGACGTACAAAAGGCAAACTCAGTACAGCAATCCCAAATGTGTAGGCTTTTTCGGTCAGAGCTATCCAATAGAGACCTCACTATACCGCCGCTTTTTGTTGATGTATTGCTATTCTGCGCGTGTTCGTTACATGTCGCCTGCTTCAATGGGAGGCACTTGCCTAGCGCCTGAGATGCAACGCCAGCTAGTTCATTGAAGCTGAGAATCATAAACATTACCGTTTTCAAGGCGGCAGGTGATCTAACCTAACTGACCGACATAATCGCAATAATCGAACGACAGAACAGGGGGCAATGGAAGGAGCCAGGATAAGACCGTTGGTCACCGAGGCGCCTTGTCACCTAGAAGATCGTCAGCTAGCCGCGGGTATGACCGGAGTTACCGGGCACTGATTGGTTTCTTTTTCTTCCTCTGTCCATTTACACGAACAGGGGTGGAGACTAATTGGACGATCATGGATCACCTTTTCAGCCTCACTGACAGCTATTGCATACAATGCGCATGCTCATGCGGGCATGTCTCAAAGGGGACAATAACCCGAACAGAGCGAAGCAAAACGGATTGAAAGCGTGAACTGCGGTTGGAGCATAATATCACAGTCTTCTCTATACGGTTCTTCCACCTAAATATGTACACTCTGGACTTGTTGATAATATTATGCAATTTTTGAGAAAGCCCCCATTCATTGGCTTCACCACTCGCTACCATGAAACATCATGAAGAACAAATTAACTTAAACGGTTCCTGGAGGAAGGTTGAACACAGTTAACCTGCCTCATGTACCACGACATGCCAACCCTACCTCCAGCGGCATATAATGGAGTTGACTGGTGATAGACAGCGATTGAAACATGACTTGTCGCCCCTGCCTGAGCAATTCGATGTTAGGTAGGAGTGCAAGTGGCTGCAATGCCTAGGGTTTTGTGATATGTTTATCATCGTAAGTTTATGGGAACACAGAAAAAAGTCACTGGCTGAAGCGGTCCTTCACATCTTGGCATCGCAAGCTAGACTGCTTCTTCAACTTTGAGGCTTGAAACTTCCCTATCCTCCTGCACATGCTATCAAATTTCGTGCTTTCTCTGAGTGAATTCCCACCTCGAGACATGTCATATATCATATATCTCCTTGGAAGTGCTGGGAACTATCTGACAACATGTTTCATTCTTTGGTGAATCCTGGCTCCATATATGCAGGCGCGATGCAGCGTAGCTTGGCGAGCTGAAGCAATATTTCGGAATCCCACATCTACCTAGTCTTAAATGGGTTATGAGAGCGAAAGGAGGCCGTTAATATCAAAGAGAAGCGCATTTCAAACTTGTCGAAGGAGCCTCTTCTAACTTTCTTACTACCCGCGAATCGCACGCGTATTCCTCTTTTCATCATCGCAACTTCCTCCCAACCAGATTATCCTTTCCCGATTAATACTTTCTTGTGCTTGGCCGAAGGTGCATCAACAATGGCAGGCAAACAGTCTAAGGAGCTTTCTGAATTGATTGCTGAAGCTGCTAAGAAGGGTATGGCGCGTGACAGCTTCTTCTCTTTCGGAGACGAGGGTCTCACAGCGAGTGTGAGTGCAACTGGACGGTTACTACGAATCACTCAGCATTTTCCAGGCCAGAAGACAGGACTATGCATCGACGATAAGGGTATGAGCGAACCCTACTACGTTTCTTCCCGCTTAGAAGAGTTTCTCGAACGTTCTCGCGACGAAAAGGTCGGAGGGATCGGCCCCCGCATCGACTCCTTGTGGCCAGGGTCGGAGTCTGACCACGACATTGTTAACGACCGATGGCCCACCTTCACCAGGACGATGCGAGGCAAGACTTTGAACAAGCTGCGTGTGTCTTATGTGGCGTTTCAGGGCACCATCTACCAGAAATTCGAAATCATACACCCAAACGAAACACAATCGTCACAATCCGAAAGCAAGGAATTCCCGAGCGACATCTTGCCTACTCTATCACTTGAGTTAGAAGTTTTCATCAGGGACCTAGACTTCGTGACCTGGGGAAACCTTTTCAATAAGGCTTCGTCGCAACCACAAGTGCCGGTTTACACCACTTTTCATGGGCAAGCAAAGAACCATGTCACACAGGAACACAAAAGTCCTGAGACTCCCGGCAAACACTTTGTCCTCCATGTACAAGTCTTGGATCAGCACAATACGATGGAACTGTTCAAACCAGACCAGGAGAACATATACCACACTACTCCGAGTGATGGCAATGATCCTGATCGTCAGGCCGTATTAGTTGTTCTGGCATATACTCTCAAACAATGTACCGCATCTTCAGACTCCGATCCTTTGCCAGACTGGGAGAGGTTTATCGAAGCTGACAAGCTTCTTCACCATTACGACACAGTCAGTTTGACTAAAAACGATACTTTAGACTTCTTCCTCAGGAGGAACCTAGAATATATATTGTCCGTCTGCAGCATTCCCGTGTCTGAAGCGTATTCTGACGGAATACCTGCGATTGCTCTCACCTGCGGCGATGTTGATGGTCACCGAGTCAGCAACGCAGCAAGCTTGTAAGTAGTTCAAATTGATAGCGTTACATCCGCTAATGGGTGTCAAAGCTATGCTTTTCAGTTTTTACTTCTCGGCTTGGACCACTTCAAGTTCTTACATTCAGAACTGCCAGATGGCATATGCGATTGTGACAAATGGCCTCTATTCTCTACAGCATCGTCTTATGTCTGCATGATGAAAAGACGTATTGAGCGCGTGTGCAAGGGTCACATGAACTGGGTCTTCCAGAGAGCGGCCTTGTCTAAGAATCCGTTCTGTCCTAACTATTGGACCAGTGGTGATGAAATCGAGGACTGGGAAGATAATTTTTGGCTTCCAAGAAAATCACTTGTCGAAGCCCCATTCCAATTTATTAAAGCCGCGGACTTTTACAAAAGAATCGATGGGGAGATGCCCGAAGATCATTTTCAAGCGGCGAGGGCTGCTTACAATAGCTGGATTCGCCTTCTCGAGAAGATTGAGAAGTCCGGGAAATGCGCGTTCCCCTCTTACAAGGACAGCGACGACGGAAAACCGATCAAAACATTCTATCTTACAGACCATGCTCTCATTTGGCAAGCAGTAAGATCTGCGGAGTCAATGAAGCTTCACTCCTCACCCAAGGATGATCCTGAGTTAATCGAGAAGATGCGTGGATATTCGGCTGATAAGTTGCGGGAAAACATCGTCAAGAGATTTACGACTGAGAATTCTCTCTTGAAGCAGAGAATGATCGCCGTGAAACGAAGTCCTACTCAAACCCGATTTCTTTTCCGCTCAAAAGACGTTGCTCTTTTCCGTGCCATGGGAGAGGGCTTGTTTGAGCAAGCCGAAATCCAATGGATGAACACCCTTGACAGCCAGAAACACCATGAAGGGAATGACGACACCGACTGGAGTGATCCTCGAAGATTTTCTCTAGCTATTTCAATGGCCCGGCATGGGAAACTCATCAACTTTCGCACCAGAAAGGAGCTGACTGAGCAAGCCTTATCAATTTTACTCAGTACCTCCTCTTCCAACGGACTTTTCGCAGGAGCACTCGATGAACGACAGAGTTCAGCCATATACGAGGACGAGAGAGACCGAGACAACTATTGGACAGTAGTTTTCGAAGTTCCGTACATCTTGTGGAAAGACTACTGCTCTCTGCCTAGCTCGGACCCCGAAGACGACACGAATCGTAAATCGAAGTCCACAGACAGCTGCCTTGAGCATATGTGCCAGTCCGTTGAGAGGATCTCGAAACATTTGGGAGATCTAACAGTTCATCCGACAGAGACAACGGGGCCAAGATATCGTTACGGCTACTGGATGAAACACAACCTCCCATTCAACAATGTGATAGACGACAACAACGTCGTGGAGCTGCAGGACGAGTGGCTTTATAATGAACCTGATTTCTTCGTCAAAACCACGGCCATGACCAATGTCGACAGGGGAGATAGATCAGGTGCCGACACAAACACAGAGACTTCGATGTCGGCAAAGGCCATCTACGCGTACGTTCAGCTCAAGATTGACATTAAGGAGCCTAAGCCGTTCAAGGAGAAGCGGCCTTTGTCAATCTTCCCAGTTGATTACTACTCGCAGAACGCGGAGAATTCGTTTGAGGAAGATATCAAGTCCCAAAGAGAGACCCAAGATGCCAAAAAGAGGTTTTGGGCTTTCATTTCGACGAATGCGGAGGAAAATTCAAGCTGCACCAAGACATTGGCTCCAAACGAGAAACGTGAACAAGCAGAGATGGAACATTTCTTCGACAGACACAAGACAAACAGCAACTTCTTCACCGAAGAAACAATAGCAGCGCTGAACATATGGACAACGGAGTTCCAAATGGCCTTCTACTCTGGTGTTAAGGATGGGGAGTTTTGGGGCGGAAACGAAATTGAAAAGGTAGCAATGGGATTCCGGTTCGAGGGCGACTTTTTCGACAAATATTGGACCTGCCGTTTTGTGGTGGCAAATCCTCATTTGCCGGCTGAGGAGTATGAAGTGCAGACTGGGATGATCAAGTTGCTGCAGCAAGACCACGAAGACGACTATGTTCACTCTTCGATAGTCAAGAAAGGCCCTTGGGAACAACGGAGAGTGCTCGAATTGATATTGTTCGGACACATCATCAGCGAAATGGCTACGAGCGCGCGCCATATCCTGGAATTGGCCGAGCGCACTGTGCGGAAACAGAAAAACAAGTTGGAACAGAGGCTTCAAAGGCTCCAAGGCTCTGAAATGTTCAAACAAGAACGAGACGTTCCGTCCCCAGAAGACGGCGGACCTATTGACTACAACAGCTTCATAATCACCAGCAATGAGTTCCGCAAGTTCCAGGAACGTTTGCAGATGATACACGGAGATTTCGCAAAAGCCAGACCCATCAGCGACCATTGGCTCAATCGAGAAAAGGATCGTCAAGCCGAACAGCCCCGGTGGACCTTCAGCGATGAGAGTCGCTATAGGCCAGTACTGAATAAGTTACTCGTCACAAACCGGCGGGCTATCCAAGACCTGGATCGCAACCTCAGGGGAATTTCTACCCTTTCAGAGTCGATTACGAAAGAGCTCGAGTACGTGAGCAGCGGTCTCGAGAGCATCTCAAATGAAGAAAGCCGACAGAACAACAAGGATGTCAAGCTTTTCACGTACACAACTGCCGTATTCTTGCCTCTGGGGTTTGCAACAGGCATGTTCAGCATGAGCGGGACGCCTGACGCACAAACTGTCGGCGGAATGTTTGGACTATTTGTTGGAGTATTCATCCTGGGTCTATTGATAATTCTTTCTGTCGCAAAGGTTAATGCCAAGTATGGAAACAGCCGGCAAATTCGGGAGAAGCTGATGAGGTGGGGGCGGCAGAAGATCGATAGGCCGTCCCTTTTGGGTACATTGATAATTCTCATTCTCATTGTCGGAAAGGTCAACGCCAAAGAGCTGACCAGGCGGGGGCGGCAAAAGATCAACGAGGCGTCTCTTGGGCGTGGACGTGAAGCAAGTGCGGAAGGAAAATCAACCGAAGAAACGAACGCTGAACGCAAGGAAGATGATACGGATAAAAGACCGCGGCGAAGGTTTTGCGGCTTGAAATTATACAGGAAGGAAAAGGACGATGCTTTGGCAAAACACAGAGAAGGGCACGTGGAAGAAGGGAGGGGGGGACTCAGCTTCCCCAGGGTGGACGAGACGGCAACCTCAGGGAGCGCGTAAAGCTTCAAGGGTTGAGGGCCAATTCATGTTTCGAGGTCATGAGGTAATGTGACGAAGAGTTCAGGATAGTTTGTGACTGCATAATCAATTTCTACGCGCAACTTGATGCTCTATAATCGTTGAATTGCAGCCCTTGCCAGTTGTTGAAGTCAAACTATGGTTCTAGTAAGGCTCACGATGCGGAGTAGGGCTCCAAGATTTAGAACGTCGCGGCCCGGGGCGCCGTCATAGGGCTTTGGAACAAGTACCTGCCATTTCTAACGGCGCCATCCTGTCGGGTTTCTTCACCAAAAACTACAATGCACAGATACATCGGGAAGAACACATGGGGAAGGCATCCAATTATCCGCGCGGCATCACCATAGGTATTCGAAGGATGATTGAGGACAAGGTAAGGAGAAGCCGGGGCGCGTCGTCTCGTTCGTTCGATATTCTGCCACGGAAACCGGATGACTGGGAAAGGAACCCACCACTGGATCCCTTCCAAGGTTCATTTCATTTTCCGTGCTCACGCACTAGAGCTAATGAGCCAAAATCTGACGGGTGAGCTAACAGCTACAATTTCTGTGGGTATTTACAAGGGGACGGGAAGCAGTTGCCAACTTGCCATCTCATCTTTCTGTCCCTCTACAAACAAATCTGCTTCACCTTCTCCTCTACAAGACACCACCGAAGCATCTTATCAGCCTCAGCACATCTATCAGAACGTTTGTCATCGACAACAGCAGGTCTAGATCGAGAGATTCGAGACACGGAACATGGCACAGATCACGGATGCAGACACGCCCGCTGGCTCAGCCCCCGGCCATCAGATCCCTGCCGAAGGATTCGCGAAGGCACCTCACAGACTCCCCCCAGCGCCTGCCTGCGCGACGATGGAGATTTCGCTTGGCTCCAGTTCAGCGCCATTTTAACCTATTCCCCCTTCTTCCTAGCGTCACATCCAAATTTATGAACTTTTTTTTTCTTACCTCCCAAGCGGTGGTGTGCTAGACTGCTGGTACCTGTTATTTGGCTGCCTGCAGTACCTGAGATGCTTGGCCCCTCCCCCCACCCCTGCTTGTACCGCCCCAGCCCGTCTGAATCCTTACGGATGCTGCCCTTCTCTTTCCACCCACCACCGTCTCGTGCGATGGGACTTCAGGGACTCCATGGTTCCAGACATGGGGTTCATCGGTTGCGGTGTCGGATTGGCGCCGTCTGACTGGTTGACGCGGACTGGACGGGATGACCCAGAAGGGGGCGTGTGAGTGCGAGAGTGTGAGCTGGGAAATGGATGAGCACGAAGGATTCTGTGAAAAGCGAGTGCTTCCCTGCCTCCCTGCTGATCGTGTCCCATTTTCCCTCTGTTCTGTCTTTTTGCCTGCCATTCACTGCAATTACTTACCAATTGCGACCCCTTCCGTCGTTTGCGAATCGCTTCATCTCAGGTTCCTCGATCTCGCAGTGTAGTAGTACCCACACGCGGTCATCCTTGTCTTGTCTTACACGAGTAGGCAAAGACAGGCTCGAAGTCGAAGTCGAACTCGACCTCTCAGAGCTCATTCATCCGTCGACAGAGAGCATCTAGACACCAGTTTTCACGACCGTTCACCACATATACCCCATCTCGAAATGGCGCTCTCAACAAAAACGACATTCATCGCGTCAACCTTTCCCGAAAACCCGCTCAAAACGGCCGACTTCTCGCCACCAGCGTCCTCCTGCTCGGGCATCTACCTCACCAACAACGTCTACGCCATCGACAATGACTCGAAATGCCTACCCAACAAGTTCAACGGCGCCAGCACGGCCTTCTACTCCCCCGGAACCGTCTGCCCCACGGGCTACACCGCGCAACCTCAGTGCTCGCGCAACGGCGGTGTGCGCTCTATCACGACCGTTACATGCTGTCCATACCGCGGAGATATGACGCTATCGTGTGTCGAGGACGACATGACGCTTGCCAACGTGTGGGAGACACAATTCTGCACGTGGATGGCGGGCCCTGCGACGGTCGTTGATATTACACGGACGGACAATGGTGTGGTGGCTACGCAGGCTGTTACGATGTCGGACCGTGATGGCGTGAACGCGTGGGGTATCAGGATGGTGTATCAGGCAAGCGATCTCGTGCCCAAGACGACCTCGGGAGCATCAATTGCGTCGGCAACGGCAACGGGAACGGCGGCGGCGGGAAGCGGTGTGACATCGGGTGCGAGTGCGACTGGAACGGCGGCCGGAGCGGACAACACCAGCGGCAGCGCGACCGGCGCCGCCACATCGGGAGCGAGTTCAGGTGGTCTGTCAACGGGCGGCATCGTCGCTGTAGCAGTCGTCGTCCCCGTCGTCGCGATAGCAGCGCTCGTGGGCCTGTTCTTGTGGTGGAGGCGGCGGAAGCACCGGTACGCGGGCGTGAAGCCCGCTGAGACGCCCACAGCACCTGAGATGGATGGGTCGTCGGCCATGGGGTCTCAGAGCGCGTACGCGTACCAGAACCAGCAGTACGCGCAGCAACAGCACAATGGGCAGTATCCCCAGGCGTCACCGCCTGCATCGGAAATGGTTGGGACCGACATGGCTGGGTATTACAACAACGACAAGGTCCTCATGAACCCCGGTGGCCAGCATCAAGGCGCAGGGCACACGCAATACAAAGGGTATACACACCCCCAGCCGCCTGTAGAGTTGGCTAGCGGGGAGGGGCCTACGGAGTTGCCTGCTGATAATGATCGGAGGTGATGGTAGTCATGGGCGCGGTCAAGATCTCTGCGCTGCTGAAACGTTGAGAGTTTGGTATAGAGAAGGGGTGTAAGTCGTAATGGAGGGAGTTGATTTGAGATGGATATATCATTGTAGTAGGGCTTCATTTTCATACCAGCGTGCGTGGCGTTTAGATGGCCGATTTTCATGAAGTGGCGTATTCTTGAGGCAATAGCAGCGTCCAGTTGCGATGCTGTGGTTGAGTAAGGTTGATAGATGATATCCTGGATTAGAGACGTATGAATTGAAGGCTTAATCATGAGACTGAAGTTACTGTCTATAGCCAAGTGCCTGTAAGTGAGAAAGTGAGTGCGCGTGAGAGTGAGAGAAAGGTGCAGGAGTTGAAACAACTTATGTGCCGCCGTGACGAGCGAGCCGCGCGGTCAATCACACAACAATACGAATGTCAGTCACTGAAAGATAGCTGGAAGCAGCTTAGGAAGGCCAAAACTCAACCACATGGGGAAGCTGCTATGCATTCGCTTTACCTCCGTGACGGGCATTGAATCCATCCGGGCCAAGCGCCGTGCCGCCGATGGCCAGTGAAGAGTCACACCGACCGCCATGATCCCGGGGGCTACAGCAACCGGTGGCCCCGGCTTCCCACCTCAGGTGAACTCACCGCCTGCAGTTTTCAGTGGACACCCTCGACCTGCGAATGAATTACCCCGCCACCCCGCCATCCAAGAAAGCTGCAAAAAAATTCGACCCGCGCGACGCAATTCCTGCTTATCAAGCACCCGGAACCCTCGATTGACGATTAATAAAGCAACGTCGTCTTCCTGCTTCTGCGCCCTTGTTGTCTCTGCAATAAATCAGGGATCGATACCCAGCGTTCCTTTCTACGTCATACCCTTTTACCTTTCTTCTCGAAAGAAGAATCACGAGGATTCGGCGCATTACGTCCAAGAGTGCAAAAACCTCAACTCGAAAGATACACGAAAAAGACCCAATCACCAAACACAAGCGAAACAAACAAACAAGATGTCGGCCCCTCACGAAAAGACACCCCAAGACGACGGCCATGAGTCGGAGCCCGAAATGCTCGAGGCCGACGAGGTCGGCGAGGAAGTCAACGTCGACGACGAGGACATGCCCATGGACTCTGACGACGAAAACGAAGAAATCAACCTCCAAAACGACTCGGTCGCCTACTTTGACGCCCACAAGGACTCCGTCTTCGCCATCGCCCAGCACCCCGTCCACCCGACCCTCATCGCCACCGGCGGCTCCGAAGGCGACGCAGACGACGCCCCCGGAAAGGGCTACCTCCTCTCCACCGCCGCCGCCGCCTCCCGCCCCGTCCTGCCCGCCTCCTTCTCCGGCGACGCCGCCCAACCCCAGTCCACCGAGCTCCAGTTCATCTACCCGATCGACGGCCACACGGACAGCATCAACGCCCTGGCCTTCACCCTCCCCAAGGGCGACTTCCTCGTCAGCGGCGGCATGGACGGCAAGCTCCGCGTCCACGCCCTGCGCGTAAACTCCCCCACCGCCGAGGCCGCGAGCGTCCAGATCAAGTTCATCGCCGAGGCGCAGGAGGTCCCCGAGGTCAACTGGATAGCCGCCTGCCCGAGCCCCAAATACCCAAACACCATCGCCATCGGCGCCAGCGACAACTCCGTCTGGGTATACACCATCGATATCGCGGCGGGAGGCGGTAACCCCGCGAACTGCCTGCAGCTCGTGCAGACGTACTGGCTTCACCAGGCCCCCGTCACCGCGGGCGCCTGGACGCCCGACGGAAACTTCCTCTGTACCGTCTCCGAGGACGCGAGCCTGTACGTGTGGGACGTCTGGGGAGAGGCGGCGGCCGCGGGACTGGTGGAGAGTAACGGCCAGACGACGGTGAGCTTGACGGCCGAGGACCAGCGCTTCGTGGTCGAGGGCGGGTTGTACAGCGTCGCGGTGGATCCCAAGGGCACGTTGGTCGCTGTCGGTGGTGCCGGTGGCGCGATCCGCATTGTGAGTTTGCCTAGGCTGGCGAGTTCTGCACAGGCCGGCAAGGGCGGGAAGAGCAAGAGCGCGTCGGACGTTGTAGGCGGAGGACAAATTCTTGCGGCGCTGCAGACTGCGTCGGATTCGATCGAGGCGCTGAGCTTCACGACGGCGACGGGCGGGCCGGGACAGATTTCTACGTTGCTTGCTGCTGGGTCCGTTGATGGCAGTGTTACCGTGTTTGACGCTGGCAGGAGGTTTGCCGTCAGGAGGAGTCTCGTCGGTGCGCACGAAGAGTTCAGTGTGGTCAAGGTGGAGTTTGTGAAGAACAGCTGGCTGCTGACGACGTGTGGTATGGATGGTGTTGTGAGGCGGTGGGATCTGAGGGCACAGGATGGCGGTCTTGTCAAGGAGTGGAAGGGACACCGGGGCGATGGAGAGGGTGGTGGTGTGCTTGGCTTCGTGCAGGGTGAGACTGGAGAGAGGGTTGTCACTGCTGGTGATGATGGTGTCGTTCTGGTGTTTGAGGCTTGAGGATGTAAACACATCTCTGAGACCTTGAGAGGCGAGGGAGGATCTGCGTTTGCTTTTTACCATGTTGGAATTTGGAAATGACGATGAGCTTGGGAGGAGGGGCATAGATAAAATAGGGACATCAGGCGCCTTTTGCGCTGGTATGATATGGACTCGTGGACTATTCCACGTCCCCCTCATGAATTGGAGTTTCGCATTACTGATACATTGATGTGGCTGTCTTGATGCAATCCTTTGATGTCTGTTACGTGACTACCTATCTCTGTTTTCTAATGTGTTGTCTGCGATTGACATGCGGTAATTGACAGGGTAAGACATGAAAGCTTCGTTCGTCTCAAATTTTGTCAAGCTTAATCAAGCTGCCCATTTCCATCGCTAGTTGTTTATTGTCATCTCCAACACTCGCTCCGACCTAATCTACGAAGAAGTCACCACTCTCATCTACAAATTTGCACTTGCCGATCACGGAACGGACGGACGACGCTGGCCGTCAGAGTTTATGGCCGACAGAACAGCCACCAGTATGATGATCTCACTGAGAAGCGATCAGCTACTCGTCCTCATTCTGATGGTGTTCGGTATCCGGGAATTTCCGCGTATTTGCCTTGTGCTAGCAGGGTCGTGGTTATCGTGGGACACGATCATTTCTTGTGAGTAACCAGTTACCGGCACCGCTTTTCAATGCATGACGGCGATGTTTGATCGGATGGATGATCCTGATAGTCTTTGTTTAGTGTACGCGATACTTGGTATCTTCCCTTTTCTCAATGAGATCGCAGCACCTCTTCTCAGAAACCTAGTACCGGAATTGAGAACGCTATAATAGATGGGAATATTTAGCCTTCACGTAAGTATATACCTGAAGAGATAAACGGCAGCATATTTACTGATATTCATCGTGGTGTTCAATCATCACAGAAACATGAAAGAGTAGATGCGGACCAAATGCATAGTATACGGAAGCAGGAAACTCTTTGAATTAATTCATTCTCATTAAGACTACCTCATCGTAGTCGTCACCAAATAACATCATCTACATGCAGTATGTTCATATTTCGGTGACTGATTGTCATCCCCTCTCCTCATCTTCTTCCTTTAACTTATTCATTCCGCAAAGTTTAGTTGGATCGTCCGCCCTGTCCAGCACCCTCTCCCTTAGGAAATGAGCCACCGCTGGCGGCAAGACCATCAATGGCGAGACCCTTTTCAGGCTCAGGGAGAGGCGCAGTCTTGTCGGCGCGGTCGACGTGAGGGTCCTGATGAACGAAGTGATCAGTCGTTACTCTTGGAGGGGCTGATAACTAGGAGTGTGTCGTCTTACCTTGACGGCGCCAGCGCCGTGGATAACGTCGTGGGTCTCCTCGACCTTGTTGTCGGAGGCTCCAGACCCGTCGCGAGGCATGGTGATGATTGGTGGTTTTTGAGGATTTGACTGAAGTGAAAATGGTTTGATCTTGGGACAAAACTTGTTGTAGGATGGTTGATAGTAAGTGATATCAGTGCAGATTTTGATGAAGTGCAAAATCAATCTGTCAATGATGAAAGGGGGTTGGAAGATCTTATATACAGAAGCATGAGGTCTGAACTCGAGTTGACGTCATGTGAGTTCGCACCTTGGCTTCTGCCTCAAACCTCCTCAAAGAGGGGTGAAGCTCCAGGTCCTCGAGCTCTTTGAGGCTTTGAAGCTTGAGGATTTGAGGCGTAAAACGTCATGATGTGGGGGAATGATGGTACTCCCGGACGGCGCTAAGGTCCCCAAGGTACTAGATCGCAGATCTCCGTCCGATTTGCTTCCCGCTCCCTGCCTGCCTCCAACGTCGGAGTAAAATCTCCGTGTATAGGCCATGTGCAGTGGAGAGGTGGACCTTGCCAACTATGGCACAACTATGTCTGTTTATTCAATGGAATGGAGATATTGTGAGCTTGTGCCGGCGAATGGTCAAAATCATGATTTGGGGTTGTTCTTCAACTGGGCGCCGTTTGCCAGCTACCGACGGTACCCAAGTGTCTTAGGTTAGCAAAGCACGATTAGGTAGTAGTACATAAGGCACCGAGGGGTCGGCGGTGCGTCCCGCTCCCTTTTCGTAATAGCGGCTTTCCCCCAATGTCATCAACTACGACTTCACCTCTCGTCCTCACCATTTCCTCCGTCGGCCGTGTTCCTCTAGGGCATGAACTCCACGTTCCGAAACTTGATCCAGGCACAGCGAAGGAAGTGTTCAATTGGAACAAGCTTACTCCTCTCCCTTTTTTGTTCGCTTCTTCGAGCAAATGTTCAGGCGCCCCATACATCGTTGCGCCTAGCAAACAACGATCACCAAGATGGCACGTCTTCGGTCAACATGAATGACATTTCGTCATGATAGACTCTCGATTCTTCTTCTGCAAAGGTGCTCAATCCCCACGAGGCTTGAGAAGGACTGTATATAAAGACTTCCATAGCACAGAGGTATGCCACACCAATATCAGTCTGGACCGACCGACTATTGACCGTGCATAACTGCCCATAGTGCCGGCCTGGGATGGAGTCTCTCATGCGGTGCAACGTTTGTTCCGATTGCCCCTGTGCGGGCCGAAAAGTTTGAGCGAAAACGAAGGCACGGATGCAACGCCGAGACCCCCTTTTTCTTTTCATTCAACATGGCTCCATCCCCAGTCCACGAGTCACGACACTCGAGGAGACCCTCCACCGTGGGCAGATGCCGAGGAACTTGAGGACTGCCGTCCACCAAACGCATTCATCTCATGGACTCGTTCGACAGTATCGTGGAGCTCTCCACAAGTACAATTGAGTCTTCACGACGGCGCCGGCGATATCGTTACTTTGGGACATTGACTTGAAATCGTTAAACATGACGCATTTTATTTCTATCCTAAACCCAATCACCATACGAGCTCAAGCTTAGCTGCTGCTAGTAGCAATGAGTTGCGACAGACCCAGGACCTGGGCAGTGGTAATCACATCGGCAGAGGTGTTCCACCCCTCGTTGAACGGAAGACGCTCCTCCTCAAAGACGACCTTCAACCACTCGACCGGCGCAGCAGGCGCGGTGTAGCTCTGTCCAATGGTGCCGAGGATAACGGCCGACTCGCCCAGAGAGACGGTGACCTGGCTGGTCGTCAAGTTGAAGGACGGGTTCGTCGCCTTTGCGGTGGCGATGCGCTTGCTGCGCGCGGAAGCCATGGTCGCGACGCCGACCTTGTTGTCGGAGGCGGCGGCACCGGACTCGAGGTAGCCCTTGGTCTCGGCCCAGACCGTCGTGTTGAAGGTCTTCGCGTCGCCCGTCACAGCGAAGTCGGCGCGGGAGAGACTGCCGTCGTGCTCGATGACGTTGTGCTTGGCGATGTCGTCCAGGTTGAAGGTGCTCGCGTTGCCGGTGGTGGAGGTGGCAAAGGCGGGCGTGCCGAGGGTGCGGACGAGGGACTCGTTGAAGTGCAGGGCGGAGCCGAGGCCGGCGATGAGGTCCTGCATGGAGATGGACTTGCCGTCGCGGGCGAGGTAGCCGTGGTTGGCGAGGGAGTTGAGCATCGGGCAGGGACCGCGGACGGCGCCGCCGGCAACGTCGGGGGCGAGCCAGGGGTGGGCTGCGGGAGCGGCGTCGCGGGGGACGGCGGCACCGGTGACGGACATGGCGCAGGTTGCGGCGAGGACTGCTGAGGCGCGCATCTTGTATGAGTCTTTTGAGAGGATATGGGGTTCTTGAGAAACAAAGAGCGTTGGGAAGTTTTGGGATTTCTCGAGCTTCTGGAAAGACAGTGACGGCCCTTACAAGTGTGCCTTTGGTGTTGTGTAAAACGAAGGTGGTCCGGTGAGAGGATGAGTGAGGATACTGCAGGAAGGAGACAAGATGACGAGGAGAGACCGTCGACGAAAGCTGCTTTATACAGTTGTTCAAAACCTGGGGGGCTACGATTAAGGAGGGGCCTATAAACAGATACACGACGCATAGGGCTGGGCCATCCGAGTTAAGACTCGGGGATTCTCCTTTAAGCTGTCAACCCCGGGCGGCGGCGCCGTCGACGCGGCGAATCCGATAAAGTCCACGCCTTCCACGGTACTCATCGAATTGTGCCCAGGCACCTTTCTTGCTTTCCTTCTCTTCTAGAAGCAGCGGAATGATAGCCGTGCCTCGGCAGTAAGGTCAAACCCTGGCCAGTAGCCGCCGCAGTGACGGAGCAACTATGATCTATCATTATAAAATGGGCTGCTTATACGTTCATCCCTTGTTCGGTGAGCCCACTGGGGAGTCTTATTTGAAGTTATACTCCGTTATACCGCGCTTTGCTTACCTTTTCATGACGTGTTATTGGACGGGGAGTTGAGTGAGCCGAGGTGAGCCCCTTTTAAACATTCTAATTGAGTTTGAAAAAGAATGGAAACCCGGGTGAAAAATACGACTTTGACGTGCTTGGCGGGGACGTTTGTGGGCGGCCTTGGGTGGCCGTGTCGGGATGGCCCATGAGGTGTAATATGGAGAGCTCCGAGAGAGCAGCAACTTTCAATGCGGGACGAAACTTGGTGCAAGGGGGCGGGAGATGTACGGCTGGGGTTAGGGGCCGCTCCACGTAGCTTTATATTTGATCTCGGCCCCAGGAATCTCAACAACCAATAAACAGTCGCCTTGTTGGCTAAGTGGTATAGCGTCTCACTAGTATTAGTGACATGAGAAGATCGGCGGTTCGATTCCGCCACGAGGCAATCACAGCTCGCGAAGTTTCGCTTTTGAACTTTTTGGCTCTTGAAGATGATTGTCATGTAGGTATTCAGCCCGAGATGCAAACTCCATATACAATGCCGTTGTCTACATACGCTCCGTCCCTCCGTCAGCGTAACGAACCTCCATGCTCATTTCATGGCACCACAGCTCCCGCATCCACCCTCCCCTCCACATCCACCACCACAACCGCCTCCACACCCAGCATCCTCCTGGCAAGCAGCAGGGAGATACTCCTCGTCAAACGCCTCCCTCCAAAGCGCCCTCATATCCGTCGACAGCACCGCCAGACTCTCGTCGGGGATCTCGTCATCGTGGTCCACCAGCTTCCCCGTCATCCGCTTCGAGTAGGCCATGTACCGCGCCGGCGCGAGCTGGTGCGTGTGCCAGACGAGGTCAATGTCGAGCGTCGGCACCACGACGGTGCCCGGGTGCGCGGCGATGAGGTGGAAGAATTGCGCGTAGCGGGTTTGCGCCGCGGCCAGCAGGTCTGCGGGGCTTGAGCTGTGGAGCCAGGCGTGGGAGGACATTTTGAGGGAGAAGGAGAATTGGCGGTTGATTGCTGCAGTGAGAGGGTATGTGAAGAGGGTTGTTCCTGTTTGGGAGGTGTGGGCAAAGGTGCCGGTCTGGGAGGCTGGTGGTGAGAGGAGGGAAGGGAGGTCGATTGAGGCGATGAGAGATTCGAGGTTTGACGATCTCGACTGTGAACGGTTAGCAAACTTTGCCGACATAGTTGCGCCTTTCTCTTCTACTAGGGGCATAAGAGTCCAGTGCGAGTGTACAGTGGAACTTACAATTTCGGACCAGTTAATCCCATCCAGACCCAGACGGCCACCGAGCTCGATGAAGCGTGCGTAGGCCTTCGGGTGCAGCATCAGCGCGTGCCACGCCATGAGCACGTCAACGGGCGGCATCTGCTCCGCCGGCCTCTCGGCGCTAGTAGTCCATTGCTCGAAACGGGCGACGGCGCGGTCGCAGTACAGGTCCCATACGCGCTCGGGTACTTGGCCCGCGTCGGCAGCGAGCAGGTGGACTGCGTCGCGGAGTGTGACGAATGTCTCGAGGAGTTCGAGATGGGTGGCACAGTCTGCGGTTGAGGGGACGGAGTTGGATGTGGCGGTAAGCTGTGTTGTTGCGAGCTTTGATTGTTGCTGGTGCTCGACTGACGGGGCTCTAGAGTCATTGTAAGCATAGGTTATCCCTTCAATTCTACTGAGGGCGAACCAACAGGTTAGAGAGAATGGCCGGCATTTTGGCGATGATTTACAGGATCCGGTCCTTTATTGGTTTGGTGTTATTGAATATGAGGGTATCTTGAGTTCTGGGCGCTTTCTCAACTGACTCGGCAGCTCAACTTTGATAGAATGGACGCAAGAGACAAGTAGGATGAATACGAAGCTACAAGTCGACCTTCTTCAGCTCTTCAATCCAAAGGGGATTGTCACGCCTCTTATCAGGACAGCAGAAGCCCATTCGAATGAGCAGGGGTGAGCTTTATCTCGCTGCACCGTCGCACATGACAAGCAACAGCCCTGTGACCGCTGCCACCGAGTCCCAAAACGGCATGGAGGTGAGCAGGTTTCAGGACGCCAGCGCAAGACGGATCGCTGTGCCATCTTGTGCCATCTGACAACGGTAAGATGTGATTGGTGAAGTGGCCATAGGGTCCACGGATAGGCCTAACGGGCGACTCAGGCGGCTGGGCCGGGAACGCGGGGTGGTCCACGGTTGGCGGTGGGGGGAAGCATTGAGAAGATGGGAAACTTGCGCATGTCCACCAGCGAGACGGGGTTGTTTCTCGTCTGTTGCGGTAAAGTCGGTGACCCGGCCCCGCTAACAGAATCCCACCGGGGTACGGCGCTGGATGCGGTCCGACCTGTTGGAGCCTTGGAGAGAGACTGGACGAAGAGAAGAGACGCAGATACTTGGAGACTGTGGGATTCTTAGGCTCGGTCTGGGTTCTGTTAGCGGCGGTTTTAATCCAGGCGGGTGTGGGAGGCTGAGATTTCATTCTGGGAGTTGGGGAAGTGGCTGGATTTCACTTGTGATTCTTCAGCTTCACTCAACATACACGTACACTCACTCTCACTCATCTTACCTCCCGTCATGAGTGAGAGGCTGATGCAACCAAGTCACCTCAAGAGACTATCGAACACTATCATCACGCCTACCTATTCCTTTCTCAAAGCTCTTACATGAAACCAGTTTTATCCACGAGCCGCCCAGATCCCAATCAGGACAGGCACGACGTGTTGGTTTCACAAGCAAACACTCATCTTCAGCCTCCACTCACAAACTCACCCATGAGAGAGGAAGCCACAGCCTGGCTCGTACACCCTCTCATTCAAACTCGCGGAATACCCTCCTCCATCAATCACCTTCACTTGTCTCCATTGAAGTAGCTGTAGAAATCATCGCTGATAAGCTTCTCTAGCGTCGGTTTCTCCCAACTGAGCTAACTTACCTGCCGAGTGGAGGCCGTCAGCTCAAAACTATGTGCCTATAAGCAAGTAGGCTCTGGCTCCCTGCACCTTTTGTGCATATCTCACGGTCCAGAATCTCATTGGGGGCCAAGCTCACTCGTCCTACGCCGTAGGCAAATGAGGGCCGCGATCGCATCACCACCTTGGTCCAACGACCAACGCCAGCCCAATGGTACAGAGCCCACGTTGCTGACAACAGTCTGATTCGATCGCCGGTCAGGCCGGCCGAGACTGGCATATTGAGGCTTGGAAACCATCGACTTTGTGCTGTTACCTCTGCCTCCGGGGGACTGTATCTGTGTCCCCCTTCCCACCCCGTCCTGTTTGCTGTTTGTCCGACGAGGGTTCTAGATCTTATGGTTGTACCATGCTGTGTCTCTGTCAATCGTCTCTTTACGGGCCCCCAGTCCGAGGTGAGCCTCACCCAATTCCTGCATGTCTTCACGTAGATCCAATCAATCTTCCCCGTTGGAGGATGAACGCCTCCTGCTTTCCCAATTCAGCATTTCATCTCGAAACCTGTTGGTACTAACAGAACATGGGGTGTGGTCTGCAATGCTTCTCTTTGATTGCTGCTGTGCGGCGTAGAATGAAGCGCAGCCCAACACCCCCAGCTCCCCCGTTCTCTTTCTTCGCCGTGTTCCTGCAAATACCCGTCCATACCCCGTCGACCGGCTGGCCGCATTTCTGGCCTTCTTCGTCATATCGTTCTTCGCGTGCCTTTGAGACACTATCATTATGAAAGTCCCGTGGCTTGCGTTGCTTTTCGTAGCTGCTCTGGGGCCTGTCCTCGGTCAGCTGAATGTTAGACAGGTCGCGAGCAGCGCCAGCTCTTCCGAAAGTCTCCTTTCCTCTACTACATCATCCGTGTTCTCCGCTCCGACGTCCGTTCCGGCGCCGACTATCAACAGTAGCGTGTATGACCTTTCGCAGCATTTTTGCCGCATCTGGAGACATGCAAGTGAGTCTAGCCCCCTCTTACTCTACTATCTTATAGTCAAGTCTAACCTGACCGGCTGTAGGTGTCTTAGCCGATGGGAAGGTTTACGTCGATGGCGGCAACACGTACGTGCCGAAGAACAATAACACATTCTATAACACAGAAGCCGGCCAATATGACGCGGGAATGCGTGAGCATACTACCATCAGAGCCCTATGCCTTGCCGTCCTAACACACCCCAGATACTCAACTCCTCGTCCTAGACCTCTCACAAAACTTCACAAACCAGGAAACCAGCCCGTACTCATCCATATTCAAGAGCCCCGATGTCCCCAACGGCCTCATCGAACACGCGCTATGGTACTCCCAAACCACCCGCAAGATCTATCAGCTCGGAGGGTGGTTCTCCTTCAACAGCCCCAACAACCCATCCTTCATTGCCGACCCGAATATACCCGAGCCGGCCATCTGGGAATTTGACGTCGACGGCGGGCGATGGTCCAAGTCGATCAACTTTGATGTGGCAAATAATGGCGAGATTGTTGACAGGCCTGGCGCTGCTGCCTTTTGCGACGCGCCGACGTTGAATAGGAGTTACATCTTTCAGGGATACGTGCAGAGGAGATCTAGTCCCGCGAACACTGCGTATACGGCTTCAGCTGACTTTCGGTGTAAGTTTTTTTTTTAAGTCCTACTTCCTCTATCTAAGCAGCGAGAAAGAATCGAGCGAGGCCTGACATCTTGCAGTCCTCGAAGGCATGCTCGAGCTTGATACCGCAGAGCGCTCTCAGCCGAAGCTCACCAACATTTCTGTCCCGACATACGTCGGCCCGCGCATGAACGGCGCAATGGTTCACGTGCCCGTTGGCGAAAAGGGGATCATTGTCAATATTGGCGGCCAGACCACGCGAGACCCAACGCCTTTCGGTATTCGCATCGAGGGTGCCAACGCAGGAAACGTCAATGCAAGTTCCCTTCAACCCCTAGGCAGCTCCCCTTAATTAACACGCCCCCAAAAGACAAACCTCTCCTTCGTAGACATCTATGATATCGAAACAGGCTTCTGGTTCCGCCAAGAAACCTTTGGCCTCCCCGACATACCAACGGGCCGCTCCGACATCTGCACCGTCCTCGTCCCCGCCGCCGATAAATCCTCCTGGAACATCTACATGATCGCCGGCGTCGAGAACTACGCGACCTACATCACCTCGGAAGAGATCTGGGTCCTCACCCTCCCGACTTTCACCTGGATCCTCGTCCACACCCGCGCCGACGGCATGTACGGCCACACCTGCCACGCCGTCGGCGAGAACCTGCTCATCGTGGGCGGTATGCAGACCAAGAACGACGGGGGGATGCAGAATGTGAATACCTGCGCCGAACACATGCCCGTTGAGATCTTTTCGCTCGCGAGCCAGAATTATACGGGCCGATATGATACCGAAGCTGCGAAGCGTCTTGCGCCCGTGCCGTCGCAGGTTGTCGCTGCCGTGGGTGGGACGTCGTCGGGTGGTGCGAGTCAGAAGGCACCGAGAGCGTGGAGTGATGTCTATTTGCAGTACATCTTTGATCCGTCGCTGAGGAGACCGGCGTATACGCCCGAGTATACTCTCGTTGTAGAGCCCAGCAGCACGGTATCGCCGTCTTCATCTGCTTCATCGACTACCCAGCCGGATTCTGGTGGTCCATCAAAGGGTGCTATCGCAGGCGGAGTTGTAGGCGGTGTTGCTGCCATTGCGTTGGTGGGACTCGGTGCGTTCCTGTTTCTCCGGCGGAAGAAGAAAAGGAAGGCGCATGAGGCGGCTGGCACAGAGGTGTCGCGACAGAGTGCCATGTCGGAGCTGCCTGGCTATACCCCCTACTCTTCTCCCGAACCGAAGCCTGGCTTCCTCGACTCGCCGACGTCGCCTGGTCACCAACGCGACGTACATGCCCATGCTGCGGAGCTCGAGGTTCCAGCTAGTGCGAGCGAGATGCCGAGTAGTCCGCGGTATGGCGGCTCGTCGGTCGAGATGGGAAGCGATGCCACGGCTAGCCCAAGAGTTGGCGATATTAGCCCGCGGGTTGGTGAAGTGAGCCCGAGGGTCGGCGATGTCAGCCCGAGGGTTCCTGGTGACGTTAGTCCCACGCTTGGGGATGAGGGATCAGGGTATCATGCTGGGCGGCAGGCGGGACATCACCCTGGAAGGTGATGTTTGCTTCGGTAGTGGTCTAGTACTTCGTGCACGATGAAAGTTCGTAGGTTATGGTGGATCTTCTTAACATGGAGGGCTTCGAAAGTCAGGTTGCCATTCAGGAACTAATCAATTCTTCTAAGAAAAGACGTAAATGATTTTCCACTAAGCACAGCGATGTCTGTTGCTCCTGAAAACTATTTGCAATTCCAAGCTTCAGAAAGAAACTTTGTTCGACCACTCGAAATTGCGAGTTCTTATTAAACTCTCGAATTATACTTGAGCGGCATATCCTCTTACTTTTCCTCGCTAAGACTCTATCTACCACTAAGGCGTTCATACTCATTCCCGTTCACCGACTATTCCCGATGATGTCCCGAAGAAACTTGACTTGAATGCCCAAACTAGATTACTACTTCGCTTCTAAGCTACTACTTTTGATGGAGAACTTCAAAAAGAATCGGAACCGGTCTCAGAACTAACATCTTCGAATCCGCTGTCAGAGACAGAGAGGTAGCCGTCCTTAACGGCGTCATCCATATTCAAGTCTTCCAGATCGACAGCGACATCCTCGGGCTCCTGAACCGGCTGGCAGGGCTCTTGGGTACTGCCGAGAATGCCCTGGTTCTGCTCCTTGAGACAACTGTTCTCCTCTCGTAAGGCCACGATCGTCTCCCCCAGCTCGTCGATATGGGCCTGTAGCTGGATTATCTGCGTCTGGTCGACATCTTTCAGCTCCTCAAGGCGGTTGAGAATAATTTCAGCTCGGTCCAGAGCGTCCTTGAGCTGGCAGATCTCAGTTTGGTCAAGGTCCGCCATAGCGTGATCGACTTCCAGAATGGTCAGGGAAGCAGCCATGGTGTGTGTTGGAAGGGTTTTGGGGTAGTGTGGTATATAGATGGTAGCTTGGAATGGTTGATTTGTGGTATTTGTAGGCTTTTGAGGGTGTGTGATGCTCCTTTGTGTTTTGGTAATGCCGAGAAAGGGGCTCAAGTTGGTGTCTGCTTTTTGTCAGCCAAGGTGTAATCTAGGATTCTGTGATGAAATATAGAAGTCTGAGGAAGAGAGTTGAAGAAAGAAGCTGTCTCCTTTTATAAGATTCCAACAGAAGGACCGGGTAGACGGGCATGTGCCGGCAGGGAAACATGAAGCAGGCTATTCACATCACTACTTGTCGATTTTGTAAGTGAATACCAGCTGAAGCTCAGCATTTCCGAAGATGTCGTTGAGATCGAAGGTCGTAAAATTGAGTGACACTCATTTATGCACTCATAAACAGGCACAAAGGGACTAGAGAGTGCAAAATACTTGCACAAATATGAGTGAAGCACTCATAAACAACCAGAAAAGGGTTTGAGGATGCAAGATAGAGGACTAAGCAAGTGATGAAGAGCTTATGGAGCTGACCATACAGGCATGGCTTTGAGGTCGCACAACTCATGACTAATTGTGTGTGACGCGCTCACAACAACCAGAATGAGACCGGAGGTCGCAACATGAGTGTCAGGGTGTGGATGATTGAGTTCGGAGGGCATCGACACGCGCATTCACTTGCAGGTGATAGGGGCAATAGGTCGCTGCCGTGAACTTAGAGTTGAAGATCCAAGGGGGAGTCATGGGAAGTAAGTATATACATGGGCAGTGATGGAGTGCATGGAGTTGCGGAAGAGGTGTAAATAAGGGAAAATGGGAGCTGACCAACCTGCAACTCCAACAGCGTCTTATTATCCACTACTTAGCTTAGTGACGTTCGGCCGATCGAAGCTGCAGGATGTAGGCGGAGGCTATATAGCGGGGGCGAAATGAATGCTTTTCTGGGTGGAAGATGTGAACCTAACTCTGGACTGTTGACGAAATGGAGACTTCGACAGACGTGATGGGTGGATGATGGAGGGGCGGGTGTCAAAGCCGGCACAGCGAGGAACGGGGGATTGCTTTCCCAAGGTGATATTGCGGTATTGATTTGATCAGTGATATCGGTGGACTAAAGAATTCTTGCAATGGTCTCCTTTATTTGGAGCAAAAAGGCTACTCGTCGACAGATAAGTAAGGTAAAATGAACTGCAGAAGGGCGTTGTTGTTTGTGTGCCTTGGCTGGCTAGGCTTTTGTTAGAAGACCTTGAGGTGCAGTTGATCTAGTTAAAGTTCAATTCAGGAGTTGGTGCAAACAAGGACTATTTATACTCAAGAGACCTCGTGCTAATCAATCACTACAGGAATGAAGCCGTAAATCCTTTTTTTTTTTTTTTTTTTGTTCACGATACTGTTAACAGCCTTCAGTGTTGATGGCTTCAAGCAGCTTTTAACAATCTGGATCCTGCTTTCAACCGCAGGTGTGTGAGTGTGTTCGAAGTTACATGGGCTCGGCGCTTATGGTCTTGCTAAGCGCCTTGGGGGGTCGACAGACCAATAGCATAGGTATTGTGAGCGGGAGGGCACTGGACACTCCAAAGAAGACTCTCGCTCCCTCCGCAGGCTTGAAGAGTTAGAAAACTCTATTGTAGGCACCGAGATAGATGCATATATCATTCAACCTGGTGTACTAGAGACTCATCAAAACCTCTCGATGACGAAAGGGGTTGAACATTACGGATAGGCAGCCAAATCTCACTTTTGAGAAGGCTCAGAGTTGGGAGTGCAGAAAGGGATGCTAAAATTACACACCAATCATGTCTTCAACCCCCAAACGTTGGTTGGCCTCCGACATGACCGATGACGCTCACATGTTTTTGCGTTGGGAGCATGTTTGGGGATTGAGGCTACTCCCTCCAGGCATCAAGTTTACAAAGAAACTGAGACCCTCGTTCGTAATATCTGTTTTGCTGAAGACCCTGTCCTTAAATCACCACTGCAAACAACCGAAAGACATCAAGAGCGCGATGCAGGCACTTAGGAATGGAAAGGCTTATGCTGAGGTGGTAGCTGTCGGCCTGCTGAGGTCGAAAATGCTTCTGCCCGGTATCATCAACCAACAGCTACTTCGCGGGGTCGGCGGAGAAGACACAGAGCCACCACCACCGGAAGACAGCGAAGATGAGTCCGACGAGCCATCAAGACTGAGAAAGGTGCGTTGAAGCATGCATCTAAGTAGGGTATACATGCCGCTAACATATCTGGAACCTTCGAGGCCGCCGACTGGGTTCGCGAAAACCCCGGGACGACTGTATGTTATGGCTTGAGTGCAGGCAGTCTCGTCGTTTTGGCCGCACCAGCTCTTGTCGCTGCACCAGCCCTGGGACTTGCGGGTTTTGGCTCGCAGGGAATAGTCGCCGGTAAGTGATATCCTCAAACTCGAGGCATAGTCAATCTTTGCAGTTGAAAGTTCTGATTACTGACTCTTTCGGGTCGATAGGCTCTACGGCAGCGGGCATCCAAGCCGGAATCGGGAACGTGGTGGCGCCGAGCCTCTTTGCTACCCTCCAAAGCGCCGGTGCGGCTGGCTACGGTGCCGCGGTCGTCAACGGAGCTATACAGGGGGGCGCCGGGGTTTCTGCTACTGCGTTTGCGTGGTTGGGGGCAAAAAAGAAAGACTGTAAGAAAGACTGTGGAGAGAATGGCAAGGAGGAAGAGGGAGGCGGGGATAAGAAGCCAAGTGCCGAGCAGGACTAGAAGCAGGTAGCAAATAAGACTTACATCTAGGCTCAGATTGAAGGACGAATGAATCGATGCCACTCTCATGATGAACAGAATACCACGTGCCGCTGGGTATCAATCATCGCGAACCTTTGATGTTGTAGACGCAGAGGCTCCATCAGGGAAGCTGATCTGCGTGTGTCAATAGGTGTGTGACACAGGGAAGAAGCTCACAGAGGCTAACTGCTATTAGGGTCTAAAAGATGAATTACTAAAATCTGCCCTTCCCTCGAGGTATACTACTAGCGCTCTATATATACCTAAGCTGCTCCTTTGTTGCTTGGTCCCCCTCCTCATGCCCCTTGAGCTATCCCTTAACCGACGAGGCCTGACCGGCGAGGCCTGACAGCGTGAAGCAATGGCTTTCCATAGTCTTCTCGTGCATCTCAAAGGCAGAAGCGATCATCATATTGATTGTAAGTGGGGTTATTTGTCAAGACAGAAGTTGATCTGAAGATTGCACCGTTTGTGTTTCTAACCGGTTTCGGCATACTAGACCTTGGAGTTGAGATCGGCCAGTACCCGACATTGTCAACTTCATTATAAGACCATTAAAGACCTCACCATCCTTACGAGAGTCAATGCCCGTAGCGCCACTGTTACCATTACAGACCATTGCCTTCATTGTTCGAGTCTTTTCGTCGACGCAGCTGCAGGAGAAAAGGGAATGGCTGTTTTGCGGATCGCGCTTTTCGAAGGAGTTTGCTTGTGTGCGCTATGCTCGGTGTTAGTGCCTGTCTGTTTAGGGACTTTGGACACGAGTAAAGCAATGACCAAGAGACTTAGCGCCAGAAGAGCAGACTTTGAAACGAGATTTTGGCTTGTATGCTCATCATCATGATTAAATATGAACAAGGTGACGCTCAGCGTGCTGGTGAAAAGTGGTTTTTGAATTGATTGAAGGTCACTATTCGTGGTTGAAGATGGCTTCCTATCTTCCATGAGGCTTCGACGGCTAGAAGTTCTTGAAACAACAACTCGACCTTAAACTAATTCTCCCCTGCACAGCACTGACAATCCATAGTTACGGTATCGCAAGTGTCAAGCTCCGCAATGAAGCCTGCTAAGCTTTCAGAGCCGCCCGCAAAAACCTGGAGAACGCGTCGTCTACGGGCCTCAAGCGGTGTCACCTGGGGTTTCCTCTGCCCAAAGAAACAGAGTCAAAAAGCACCCAGGGCTCTTTCAGTGCGAACGGGCAATTATTTTTGCGTTGGCGTCTCGAATTTCTCGGTTCGTCCGATGCGTCGCAGATCTACAGGCTGTCTGCATCTGCTGTGGTGAGCGTGACTGGCCTTGAGACGAAGCTTGACTCGGTTCATAGCCTTTGCGCTCTCTCCTTCTGCTGTCCCTGGAGTTCTCGAAGGGCCGGTTGGAGAAGAACCAGGAACCCTCGACTCGGAGACTCCGTCTAGGTCTGCAATTCGGGCCAAGGGTCTCATTCTCGTCATGGCGAAATCTCCAGAGGCAGACAGCAGGTAACTGAGTGCGAAAAGGTCGTTTCTGGGAGACAGTCATCCAGGTACAACCGCGCAGGCAAACTTCGTGCGATGAACTTGGCCCTCAAGCTCCAATGTCACAAAGGTTCACAAATTTGCCACAGGGCAAATAATAAAAGTCTGCTCAGATCAAGGGCTCTCTCGATACGATCCTCCTAGAATTTTGAAAGTGCGCAGCATTCGGTCGCGAAAAAATCACATCAGATTCCCAGCCTCAACCAACACCTATACTTTCAGATTCTCGTCTTTCTCCTCAGGAATCATGCATCTCTTCAAGGCCGGCCTACCCGTCCTTGCCGTATGTTCAGTCATCCAAGCCATCCCTGTCAACACTGGCGAAGGACGCGATACGGCCTTACACCGCCACGATGGTCTCAAAGCTTCAGACACACGTCAGGAAAACAGAAGTGCGGGCGGTTTCGTGCCTCCTCATATCCTCAGGAATATCACCCGCAGTCCTTTCGCCACAGACGATGAGCGGCGCACTGCAAATCGGACCTTGGTGATTGATGGGGAGCGATGGGGGCCGCAGCAGCCGACAGATTAATCGGTAGCTGTTAGGACTCAATTAGAGATGACCGACAAGACAGCCGCAGTGTAATCTCACTCGACGAGCTTCGGTAAAGAAAAGAATCACTCCGCGGTCCTGCTGCCCAGGTAGCTGACAACATGACAAAAAGAAAGGGTCGCGTTTCAAGTATTCAGCTCGGACGCAGGGACGGCAGACTGCCATCCGGAGACTCAGTCAACTCGGCCTTTGCGAGCCCCGCAAGCCCGGCGGAATACGGCCGAGTGTGGAACTGGTGATTGTCTTAGTGAAACATCTTGCCCTATGCGCCGTCTTTGGGAGGAGATAGCAGGCAACCCATCGATCCAAGAGCCCGCAATCCGAAGCCAGCTTCTAGCCCTGCGTTTGGCGGCCTTTCTTTTCTTCGCAACCAGCAACAGACCTGGCTCGGAACGACCGGCAATCGCGGCTGCATGCCGACACTTACTTCAATGGGGTGCTTTATGGCACCTTATCACTGATTGCCTCAACGGCAACGCATCATTATTATCATCAGATCTCTGGGCGGAAACCCCCGTGATTAGATATCGTATGCCGCGAGTTGGAGAAGACTCCGGAAACCTTGGTCAAGACTAGATTTCTCGCTACTTTATCGAAATGAAGCTATTCCCATCAATTCCCTCGCATTGGCCACTGACAGGCCACGTGTTGTAGATCAGCAAACCTTCGAAGTATCCGAACTTGAGAAAGTTTGCAGGCCCTGCTGGACCGTGCTTTACAACTATTTGACATGCTGACTCACCATCCGAGCACAAAAGAGAGACGGCCTCGGTAGCTTTGGGGGACCAAGGGGGTTCCTTCGGGATCATCTCCGGGAACGGGAGTCTTCCGGGTCCGGATGGCCTCGACGCCAACTGCCGACGATGTAGTGATTTTCCTTGGTTTTGCTCGGGACCAGAGGGATGATGCGGGCCCGTTTCTGGGGTTCTTCCAAGGAAATGTCACGGATCCGGAGCGTTGCATCACCTGTCGGATCCTGGATGCGACGGTGGGCGGATGCTCGAAAAGACCACTCCGACTGACTCTTTGAGGTCGCACTGTTCGGATATCAAGGGAAAGCTCGAGCATCTATATACAGCATACGGTACACTTTGAGAGGAAGAGAGTTTGCGTGGTATTCGTTGAAAGCGACTATGCAAAGACACGCGTTGTATGACGTCCAGCCAGGCCCAGACAAACGAGTTTCTCATGAAAATAGCCCACGGGGAGTTGGGGACAGTTTGATGTGGATGAGCAATGGTGGCTGGACAATCCGATGTGCAACGCTCATTGCACAGCACCAGCACACTTTAATTGGGGCTCTTTTTTCAGGTAAAGTTGAGAGTTGATCCAACATGGGGCGACAACTCAGGGGCTCGCAGAGGTTGTCTTGGGTAGATGACATAACCGCGCAGGGATATCCCAGCATCACCGCCCACGTCCAGCAAAGTCGTATTTAGGAACTCCCAGAGGGCGCTTCGCCCTTTTCGTACACGTTGCTCAACGCCCATTTACTACTATCTTATCTTTGGTCGGTCGGTCGTTCTCACCTACGTGTGTTCACGGTTGTATTTCTCTCTTCTCCGGTCCGCTGAGCCTCACTTTTCAGATGCCGGCCGTCGCAGCTCCAACAGCGCCTTTCATTTCATTCCCTCGTTCATTTTGAAAGAAACGATACATATTTCCAGTAGACCACACGCATGTTTGCTCGCAACACCCGAGCGAGAGAAAAAGGCACCATGTGGGAAGAATCCACGCGGGGCCGGGAGGGGCGGCAGTTTAAAGAGCAGAGCCCATACAGCGACCACGACGCCGTAGGTGAAAAGGCATCGGCCGCCGCAGCATCAGCGACAAGAAACAGCGCAGACAAGATCAGATGCCTCGATGGGCTCCGCGGAATCGCCTGTTTACTCGTCTTCAACTACCACTTCCTATGGCCCTGGACGCCGGCCATCATGCTGGGCTATGGAGCCATGCCCCCCGGATCGCCCGAGCCGTACTTTGAACGGTCATCCCTGCCCATCCTGTGCCTCTTACAACGAGGACGACCTATGGTGGCCATCTTCTTCGCCATCTCGGGATACGTCCTCTGCAGGCATATTCTGAGAGCGATTCACGAGCGGCGCTTCGAGGCCGCTTACCAGAGCCTCGCGTCGTCCGTCTTTAGGCGCGTATTCCGCCTCTACATTCCCCCAACCATTAGCATGTTCCTCGTTGCGCTACTTGCTCAGATGGGCGCCTTCAAGTCCGAGTTTGAGATTTACAAAGGGCCCGACTCGAGGTACATCAACGGTACTGTGACTGTCGCCACATTGAACAACACTTGTGTGAATGGCACGTACTCTGTCGAAGGAGCCGCGGGGATCGCCAAGTTTCTCGGCTTACGAACCCCGGCTTTCCTGGGAAATGTCACGACTAACGACACAAACACGCTGTGCCTGAATGCCACGTCCCAACTCTTCATGCCTCCAATGCTGTATGCATTGGCAGATGACATTGAGGCCGCTTCCAGGGTGGTGAATGAGACGAGCAGCCTGAACGGCACTGCAATCAACATCACGATGCAGGACGTTGGGGACAAGGAGACACCTGAGAAACACAGGTCCTACCACGACCTTCTCCACCTGCACTCCAGACCAGCACTTCTCGATGACGAGAAAGACTCGGCCAACGTCACCAACCCGGTAAACTTCACTTGGGTCCAGCTAGGTGGCTCATGGGAGGAGCATCCCTTCATCCACGACAATATCACCTATGCTCTGAAGAACTTCACGAGAGCCTACGTCGAGTGGGCCAACCCTTTCAACTTTGGCCACTACCACACGCGCTACGACCCGCACACCTTTACCATCCCGATGGAGCTCCGCGGCTCAATGTTCATCTACCTCTTCCTACTCGGCACGGCAGCTATCCAAGCAAAATGGCGCCTTCGAATCGGTGCCCTCCTCTCCGCCTACAGCCTAATCCTAGGCCGATGGGATATGGCCACCTTCATGGGCGGCGTCCTCCTCTCAGAAGCGGACATCAGACGGGCTGACCGCGGACTGATCCCCCCGGCGACGAACGGCAGGAAAGGCCAGCAGGCAACTATCGGACAAAAGTTCCTTGGATCAAGAACAGCTCGCTGGGGGGCGCTTTTCGTGGCACTCTACCTGCTCTCGTACCCCGACGCCGGAGCCGAATGGACGCCCGGGTTCACTCTCCTCTCCTCGCTCGTGCCGCGGTACTACATTCCCCTCTCCGGCTGGATGTTCTACCAGGCCATGGGTGCTATGCTCCTCCTGCCCTGCGTCCTTCATAGTCCCTTCCTCCGCGGTGCGCTCGAGGGACGGGTGGCGCAGTACCTGGGCAAGATCAGCTTCTCGTTCTATCTCGTCCATGGGCCGGTACTGCATAGTCTAGGATTCTGGATCATGCCTAGGCTCTTTGAGCGTTTCGGCCGCAACCTAGGTTTCGTTGTCGGCTGGGTTATTTTGCTGAGCGTGTCGCTGTATTTGTCAGACTGGTGGTGCAAGAAGATCGATACTTGGAGTGCGAGTGTTGGACGCCGGGTAGAGAAGGCATTAAAAGACTGAGCTGGAGCTCCGGATTTTTGTAAAATTGCTTTCGTAGTTATTCCCAATGGAATAATCAAAAGGTTATGATACCCTCATCTTGATTATTCCTGGTTACGCGCCTTGATGGCCCTCATCCGATCCCTTTTAGGCACCAAAGAGTAACCACTTTCCAACAAGCATCGTCCGTTGTAGTCGATGACCGAGCGGTACGGTTCGTTTGTTGGCTCACAGTCCTACATAATGGCGTGGATAGCTTGTTTTTTGCCAAGGTCGCGGGTTCGAGTCGTCTTTGGTCGTCTTCTTTTTCCTCACCTTCTACGCGTGCATGCAGTAGTGAGAGGACGGCTCATGAGGCCTCCGCGCAAATCTTCATGCCTCACCGATGAACACTCTTCCTGTACGTGGTATGTCAACTGAACAGATGGCAGGATGTTATTCATGATACATTATGATTGTCTAGCTGTATGATACAGGCTTGTTGCTACTAAATATCTTTCAGGCGACGAAGCCTTATAGTAGGGCAATACAGGTGATAGGCTTCCCATAATATGACAGGGTATCGATAATCAGTGATGACGCTGAACAATCATCTTGTTCCTCATGCTTCTCCTGCGTCGAGTAGGATGCGCAGGCTGCTTCCAGATAGGTTGATCAGGATCATAACCAACAAGGCAGTTGACCGTCTCCGCGCCCTCGCCAGCATCGTTAATCTCGCTGCCGACAGGATTCTTCCATTGCCCAGTGAGCTTGATATATCCATCAAGAGCATCAGTCATTGTCTTGCCCAGCTCGAGCGCCTTGGCAGCTCTGCTGTGCGAGTAGTACGTGAGCAGCGAATGCGCCGCCTCACGCTCGTTGTTCTCGATGAGAACTCTAGCGCTTGTCTCGACCCAGTCTACGTCGCTGCGGCTCTGGTTCTCGAAGCCCGTGAGCATCTGCGTGACGATGGGCAGATAGATGTCTGGGGATGAGCACATGTAATACAGCACGCGCTTGAAGATGCGACCGGCAAAGACGCTCGCCTCCTGCAGCTGGAAATCCGGGTTCAGGAAGCTACCCGAGGCGCCGGTGGTGAGATAGCGGTGCTCGCCGAATTCGGGGGGCACGCTGTTGACACCGAGCCACCACGGCACGAATGGCGACGAGACGGAAGTCGCAGGAGCATTCCAAATGCGCAGCAGGTCCGCATCGATACCAGCTTTCAAGCTGACGATTTGCCCGTAGCCTGCCTCGTCATCGGCGATGCGCTTGTCGCGGACGCGCTCCATCAGCTTCTCCTCGGTGAGAGGAACCATCTCAAGGGTGGCGTTCTCGAGCGCGGCTTGGGACATGAACTTGAAGCCGCCGTCACGGGCAGTCATATTCTCGCCCTTTTCGCCGTACGCGTTGAAGATGTTGAAGGGCACGCCCCCGTTGGGATCCCACCAACCTTGCTCGACGGCAAAGGAGACAATGTTCTCGGAGCCCATATAATCGGAGCTGTTGGCAAAGTCGGTGGGAAAGTCCTCAATGTAGCCAGGGTATAGAACGCGGACCTCGTCGGTCTTGAGACGCTCTGCCGCCCATAGCTTCTTGCCGCCGGCCATCTCCCAGACAACCCAGCCCTCGTCCTTGTCGGCGATCAAGTGAGTGTTTCCGCCGTAAGTTGCCTCGCCGTACTGGTTCATCAAGTCGCCAATGATTTTCACGCCCTCTCGAGCAGTCCTAGCTCGTTCCATGACGATGCGCGCAAGGTCGCTGTACTGGATTCCGTGCTGCGGGGTCGGGGTCATGTTGACTAGCTCATCGCGATTCTGCGCCCATACGTCACGGACGGTGACGCCGTTCTCGTTAAGGCCGCCGTTGGTGAGCGGCGCTGGGAAGCCCTCGAAGTCCGAGTACTCCATCGACATGTACCGGTAGGTGTGGCTGACCTGCGCGATCGTAAAGAGCTCGCCGGGAATGCTGGCCTTGTCCGTCACGCCGACGGTGATCGTTGCGTTAGCCGCGTGGTCGGCGGCGGGAAACAGCTGGAGCCAGTGGGAGGAGACCTCTTCGCCGGTGCCGCCGACCATGACGCTCCCGTCGGCGGTGAGGTCCTTGCCGACGTAGAAGGCGTAGCTAGCGGAGGCCGGCCCGGCGAGGGCCGCTAGGACAACGGCAGAGCTTTGCAGCATCATCTTTGCCTGTGATTAGCGAAGATGGCTCTGAGCGAGTTGGTTGAGGTGGACAAGAAAGAGGAACTGTCAAAGAAGAGGAACACAGCCCCTCATCAAGAGGGACTCTTCTCCTCACCCCTCGCTAGAGTCATTTTTCGGCAATGATGTCAAATGGAAGCCTCCGATGTTGACTTCGGAGTCGTGCTACCCCACACCGAAATTTCCGGTATCGCTAGCGGTGAAGATAACGGGTGCGCCAAGAACCGTCATTCTGCGCGGTAAACACACTTAAATGACATTATGACAATGATAAGTAAACGACTGACAAGGATCATCTTGTCTTCCGAGAAATGGCCCCATGGGTTTGCAGACGCAGTCCCTTGTTCCTGGGGAAGACATGGCTAGAATTACCGCAATCCGACTCAATCGTTGATTGACTCGGGTAAATAAGCGACTAAAGTTACCCCATTGGAGAACATTTCTGCAAGTCATGCTCCAGTAGACTCGGACTATGATTCCCCATGCATGTTCTTCATCCACGTGTTATAGGAGTTGTCTCTTGGGGTGTCTTCGGAGCTTATTGGCTATTACTTGGACAATACCCAGATAAATCCTGTTCTTTCAAACACTTTTCCCAAAGCTTTTGCAATTTCGGAGCCCCACGTTTTCGATCAATATCTGGCAACGATCCAGCAAAGGAAGACAACGGTAGGGAAGGATATCAAGGCCCCGTCAACACAGCCTTTCCAAGTGGGACTTCTGGAGGGAGAACAGACTTTGATGGTAAAGTTGCGAGATAATTTCATTGATACACCTATCCTTGATCAACGCTTTACTCACCTATGAGGACTACCGGACTACCTCGTGTTCTTTCCAAGTTCCCATTACCTTCTCCCCCGGGTCAAACATCACCTCTAAGGAATGTAGGCGTATAACTCAGTGTTGGTCGATGTTGCACTGGTTGATTCTAGTATCGTCTTTCAAGGGAATATGATCGCGTTGCAGCTTGCTTGCTCACTCTCTGGATATCGTCTCTCTGCTCTCACTCCATACCATAGTCTTGCCCGGGGCTGCCTCAAGGCCGTTTCTAGTCGTGTTGAAGTCCTGCAATGACTGATAGGAGCCATTCTTGGCTTGACAGCCCTGACAAAACATAGCCTCCGTATTTCCTTTCGATATCAGCCCATCAGCAGTCCAAGTCAGTATTCTCCAAGCTGCTTGGAGAAAAACAAGATTCGCTAGCAGAATCGAAAACAACATAACGCCACCGTTCTTTTGTTGAGGAACAGAACAAAGATACTGACTGACAATGGTGGCGTTTTTGCAGCTCAGAGGCCCCATCACTTTCGAATCTTGGATTTTCTTGTAGCTCTCCAGAAGCGTAACTTTACCTTTGCTGTCACCCATAGCTTGAGGAAGAGGGATCTCGTTGTAACGATCTACTCCAAGTGACGACCCTGAACCGTTCAGAAGCTGTCCCGGATCCCGGTTGTGATCATCCGGCGCCAAAATAGCATATTGGAGCCCACGACCGTCGAGAAGGAGGTTCGGCGCCTGGCAATTACCGAGATCTAAGGAAAGTAAAGAAAATAGAATCTTTGCGCAGTGGAGCCCTTCTGTCAATGCTGGAGATCCGAACCACTACATCCCGACAATTGCTGACATTAGCTAACGTGACTTCTCTTGACAGTCGTAATCTGTGAATACAACATTATAGAAGCGATGAAACGACATACATCAGAATTATAAGCTTTTCGGCTTTTGTTCGAATTGCTGTCAAGAACCGAGGAGTCTGAGTTTCCGATCGACCAGTAAAGACCGAAGAACTCATTGGTGTATATACTGAATCGACAGGTGAGCAACTACTAGTCAAATGAATGAGCCAGAGTGACCTACTCTTGTTCTCTTGCTTTGGGAGTGTAGGAGAAGTTGCCACTAATGGCATAGGTCTCGGAGCCGGATATATTCGTCATGTTTGTGGCGGCGGCGGTCATCACGCCGCTCCAGTATGCGTTGAGAAGTCTGGTTCCCCACCAAATGCTTGCAACCTTCTTCTCGTGGTCTTCTATTACATAGCTATAGTCGTGGGGCCCTTCACCAGTAACATCCTCGGTAACGAGAGTTATGGTCACCAGGCCGTTATCTGTCACAACTGCGCAGTCCACAGTCGCTTGCATTGTAGAATCTCTCCAGGAATACCACCAAGCAGGAGATGGTGGCACCGCAGTGTCACTCTTCTTCATCTTCAGGACAATTCTGTTGGGCGAGCATCCTTGGAGAGTGTTATTCTTGTAATTCAAGGTGGATAGTGAACCTTTTGTTGGTTCTGTAATGGCTTTGATAATGTATCTAAAACCCAGATTGGAGGTGAAAAAGGAATCGCCGATGGTGAGCAGACGTGGCTGGCACTCTGCCTGTACGTCGCTCCTCCAATTGAACGGAGTCTTTCTGAACCATCTCAAACCGCAGTGTCAGCACGGAAATGATCTCCCAATGTGGTATCGTAGACCTACTTTGCGTTTGAAGAGGCTTCGGTGCCATTGGGGTCAGATGTATACAGTGGCTTCAATAAGTAGCCGTTTGCGCTCAGATTGATGAGTGAAAGTAAGACAGTGAGAACAATGCCGCCAACTAAGGCGACAGGTGTGAACCATCGAAAAGGATATGGCTTGGAGATCGAGTACGAGAACCACGACCGATGCATCTTATCGCTCAGTCGCCGATAGCTTCGATGACCCTCAAGCACCTCGAGAGATGAAGGTTGGTCCAGGGCAGGAGATGGTGTATTTGGTCGGGGTGGCGTACTGTGTTTAGATCTAAGCAGTCGGTCATCAATGTAAGTCTATCCATTCCGAAGGGGCAGCTGACTTCTTATTTGCCACGATTTGCCATGCGTTACGAACCCCGGGCAGCTGCGGCCCTGGGGATGTGCAGATTGGTCATCTACATCCATTATCCACACCACAGCGAAAAGCTGCTTCTTCGGGTTTGCTGCCTGCAATGATGGACGAACCACGCAATTCGGTGCATTTACCGTTGCTTTGCTCACCAACCAGAAGAATCTGCAATAGTATTCGAGGTAGGCAGATTTCCAGAATTGGTACAGCCTGCCTAAGGTAGGATTGTGAATCCCTGGGATCAGAATGCTTGCCAATGGCGTCTTACCTGCGTTTTACGAGCCAGTATCCATGGACCACACAGGGCGTACGGGCTTACTCAAATCCACTGCCCAGCCGAGCTGCGAATCAATGGCATGCGTTTGGGTGCCGTTAGCGAAGAAAGCCTTGTCGTAGGTCAATGGCCCAATTAAAGACCTACCTGGCTTCCGGGTTGCTAATTCATCCTGCCTTGCCTGCATATGACGGCCATTCTTTAGCATTAGCGATGTCAACATAGCCTGCCTGACGGACGACATATTCATCAAGATATTTCCGGCATGAGGCGTTGGCGTGCAAGACAATATACTTGAGAGGTCATAGTTTCATAGATCACGTGTGAATATCAAAGCTTAGGTAGGCGGTTCCAGTCATACGTGGTGTCCATACTGCAACTTTCTAGTAACAATCAGTTGCATTGAAAGGGATATATTGACATTTACACCACTTCGCTAGCAAAATCTATCAAGGAGCGCATTGGCAGTTGCTTCACGTCATTATCAGCAAGGTGAAGTCATACGTGGAAGAGCAAGACTTTGACTCACCAAACAGTTGAGGTCAACTGGGTGCACTGCTTGTATTGCAGCTCAGGGTTGGTACACTGCGGAAGCAACAGTCAGCTCGCTGAAATCTATTGACTTGAACCCCTTTTTGGGAAGGTAAACTGACGACCAGTTTGTCGCGGACACTGGGGCAGGGGTCAACAGGCGCAGGAGGCGGCCTGGCCAACGCAGCACCGAAGACTGCAAAGAAAACGAAGGCGGAGAGCTGCATTTTGGCGTAGTAATTGAGAACGGGCGAGACTTGGAACTGGACTGTTCTGCCTATGATAAGTCGAGGAATTCTGGAACTTTTTATACGGACGAGTTGACTCGCTGTGAGCGAGACAATCAGGCCTGGCGAAGGAATTAGTACAGCTTCGGCAAGCAGTTCCGGGTCGGTGTTCCTTACAGGTCCGATGCAATATAGCAAACTTCGCTTCCTTCTAGTCTAAACTCTGTTTTGTTAAATTCAGTATACAGGTGCTTCGATACGGGGAACTTTTGCCGGCTTTAGATAGGTGAATGACTCGAGATTTCGTGACTGATCATGCCGAATCGCAACAAATTGACAACCGGCCCCGACCGCTCGCAAGTGAAGGACGCGATTTCGAGCACTTTGAGTTTAAGAAACTCCCCAGAACCAAGATCATTGCGGCGTTGTGTCCCGAACCCGTAAGTGATAAGCTTTGCCGCTGACCTGGTCGGGAGAGCATATAGAACCTCCTGCCGCTTTGGATCATAGGAACATCTGGAATATAGGGGTGGAATGCATCTTAGACCTTGCAAGGGGCCAATCTAGTTTAGGCGTTTGCTTGCTGAAGCTGTTTCCACAGGTCGGCGGTTTCCTAAGGTTGAACATAGCAGTATAGTCGGTGTTGGTCAGCGGAACTTGGAACTCTCACCGAGCATTAGCCAGCGAAGCGGGTGCTGTGTTTGAATTGCGGCGAGTTGATGACATAATTTAGTCCGATTAAGTCCGTTAAACGGGCGGCCATGTTCATCCCACTGGAACGCACTTAATTTGGGTTTGGTCAAAAGATTTATTGAGGCCTAGTGGCCGGGTATCATAACATCCCACCGAATCCCGCTACTTTAAGGACTCGAGAAATATTTAAGGACTCGAGAAATCACTCGAGAGGGTCTGCCGGTCATGGATAGCTCAGAAATGTCTGATTACAGGAGAAATCTGGTTATCAGGTCGCAGGCCATGGTGCATGACCTCTGAGCCAGGCCGGTCCGGCTCTTGAGAACGCCTCGAAGGCCCAGAGCCGAGTTGAACTTCGTCAGTCTTCGCAAGGGCAGCAAAATGCATCTCCAAGGACTTTCAGAGTATCACCGAAGCCTCACAGTAACTTCGAGGCAGCTGATCTTCCTTACACGACTCTCCTCCCCAAATCCCCCATCCTCTTCTTCGAGCACCACATCATCGACCGTACCCACGGTCTTGGTCCTCACCTCGACCTCGCAGTCGCTCTGCTCTGTAAACCAAGCTGCGATGCTGAGGACCTTCTCAATTGCTCTGCCTGTGCCGAGCACGATAGCCTCTCCATTCCCTCCTTTGGTGCCGTTGTCGCGATGGAGCAGGTCGATGCGCTGGTTGAGGTTCATGCCCCTCGTCGACGGCGCGTTGCCTTTGAGAGACTTGTCCAGTTGCTTGCGGACACGTGAGACTGCTGACATGAATGGTGTTGACGCTGACACGTAGATGAGTTGTGATTTTGATGAGTTGGGTTGTTGACGGCGAGGCAAGGCACGCTTTTGAATTTTGGAGCCTGAAATTGGGTTAGGCGAAGACTCATCCGACGGGGAAACTAAGTTTGGGAGTGGCTGGCTTACCTTCAGGCAGCCGAGGCAACTTGTTCATAGTGGAAGACGACTGTCTTGTAGAGGGTGAATTATCTCTGCCAGCCTGGCCTTGTGTTGTTGACCGAGTCGGCGCCATGCTAGGCCAGGCAGCTGCGTGGGTGTGAGTGAGTCTGAGACTTGAAATCCTTTCTGCCTTGACGGTTTTGCGGATCTCGATGGCGTGTATGAGGTTCAAAAGGGTCTCGTCAGATAGGAGTGAGATGAAATGTGTGCAGACACCCTAAAGGAGTTCTCTGAGTTTGAGCTGTGTGATTCTAAGATACGCCGGCCTGAAATGTTCAACAAGACACCGAAAAAGATACTGAACCGTCCCCGGATGAGAAAAGTGCATGGAGTGGGCCCAGACCCCGTCTGCAGCGGCGGGGCAGGCGCACCTTCCTCCGCTAGATCGGTTCGGCCCCCACTTAAGAAGGCACCGCGCACCGACCACCCTGGTCCAAAGCCTCCCGCGATGACGAGATGCCCTCTAGAGCTTCAAACTGTCCACCATGAGCTAATCGAATAACACCAATCGCCCTGTTGCGGCTGCCTACGAACTGTTTTACCAGACAAGTCAAGTCTCACGAGCTGTCGAAGCGGAAGCGAACCTGAGTTGACAGCATGTCAATAGCAATCTGGCCTCCGGTGTCCCCAGAGGAGCTGATAAAAGGGAAACAGGAATGCCTCGTACGTACCCTCGCCGTCTCTGCTTGCCCCGCGCCGAACCCCTAATCATTGGATCCCAATCTCGGAAGACACAATGCTAATCAGACTCGACAAACTCTCACAGGCCCGCGAGCTAGAATGGATCGTCGTAGAAACACACGCGATCCTTAAGGACATCCGCCACGGCCTGCAGGACTGCTACGCTCTTCTGGCGCCCATCGACCCGGGAAGCACTCTCGTCATGAGCACGCAGCGTAACGAGCGCGTAAAGGGAACAGTGACCCGGGTCGGCACGCGGATAATCAAAGGCGTAGGTCTATTCTCTGCCGACTACCTCTCTCTTTCGCAACTACGAATCCGCGGCTGACACCTTCAAGACAATCCATCTCCAGCTCAAAACCCTCCCAACGCAGACCTTGAACCTCGACGCCTCGCACCCAGTCCACATCGCGGCTCTCGAAACAATCCACACACACCTAACAGAATGCCTCGACCTTCTCTCCCTCACAGACACACCGAGCCCTTCCAATAACCCTTCTCAGCTCGCCGCCCAGCTGCGCATCATCGCCGCCTCCCTCAACGAGTCCTCCTCTCTCCTCAAGGGCCCGGCCCTGAACGAAGTCGATCACAGCTGGCAGACCGACTCCTGTCCGCCCGTCCACTTTAGCCCAACCCTCGGGCCAAATATCAGCGTTCACCTAGGCCTCCAAGAATCGAGTCTGGTCCTCTGGTTGCGCGCTCTCGAACCCGTAGATTCGCCGGTACACTTCGGCACCAAGCTCGGTCTAGCCTTGGGAACGGTCCGAAGACTGGAACACGACGAGATGGACCGCCCTTTCCGGTTCACGTATAGCACCGTTACGGATGGCGGGCTGAAGCACAGGCATGGCACGGCGCATCCAAGGAGCAGCGGAAGCAGCCCCAGCGGGCTGGGTACACCCTCCAGTAATGGAGAAGCTACGGAGGTCTTTGTGAGGGAGAAGGTGCGGGTTGAGAGTCTGCCAGATCCCAATCTCATGTCTCTGTCTGCAAAGTTGGTTGCCTTGGGTCACACGCTGGCCAGTGCTAGGAGAAATCTAGCAGCTGTCATGGGTGAGGAGTTCGACGAGTGAAGCAATCTGTAAATGTAGTTATATACCCAGGAGTTCGGCAGGCTAAGTTGGCATGTCTTTGGCAAGGTTACTGTCTTCAAATTCCTATGTGCTGGTCTTGTTTACCAGGATTCTGTACACATACAAGTCGCCAAATGGGAGCCTTATTCCATGATCAAACCAAGCCATCTGTCTTCCTAAAGCTGGAAAACGTAATCCCTAAAGCAGTTCATCCCTAGTTGCCTTCGCTGGCCTCACACACGCTGGACCAGGATGATTCCTCACATCGGTGCAGTGTGTTGGCCTCATTGGCATCGACAAATGAAAGCTGATATGGGCGATATGTAGAAGCATGCGATGCCACGCATAGCAGAAACGCGGCCGAGCTGAGTAAGAGTCCAAAAAACCCCCCCACGATTACGCCACAGGAGACCAGGGCATCGGGATCAGGATTCTCGACTTCATGCTCTGAATAAGAGGCACAGTCTTGTGGACAGTCTCGCTCCAGCCCTCGACGCTCCAGCTCTTCTCGCGGCGGATCTTTCGCTCCTCGAGGTTGGCGAACTGCCATAAGTGGTGAACGGTGTTCAGGTCTCCTATCTGCACAAACCAAGCGCCGACACCCTCCATGACTTCGCGTCTCGCCTTGAGGCCGCGTCTCCAGTGGGTCTCCCACTCGAGGAGGTTGCCGGGGTGGAGAGTGTATGATCGCAGCTCGAAGATGCCGCCAAGCTGGCGGGGAGGCGTGGTGGGCCAGAAGGAGAACTCCTGCATGAGGGATGTCTTCTTCGAGGTGATGAGGCTCTTAAGCTTCTTATCGAACTCGGCGAATTCGGGGTGCGAGCCAATGTTGTGGATTGACTCGTGGTAACCCTGGTAGCGCTGGTACTCCCAAATATGGACTGTGACCCTAATATTAGCATCATGTGGTTTCGCTTCAGCATGGGTTGTTTTTTCTCGGCAAGGTAACATACCAAACGTATCACAGTCTCCAACTTCGGTTCTCCAGCTTCCAACTAGATGGACCTTATTCTCGGGCATGGAAGCCATGCGCGGGTACCAGCTGCCGACAAGCTTGGTGTACTCCTCCACCTTGTCGGGCTTGACCTCGTGCTGGACGATCGAGTGGACGTACTTGCCTCGGGCAAGGACCTGACTGAAGCTCGCCTCGAGCTGAGCATCGAGTTCGCGACCTTCCTTTGTGCCGTAGATGAGGTTGGTCAAGGGGCCAGCCTTGCGCGAAGGCTCCTGGGTGGCCTCGGCCTTCTGTCCTGAAGTAGCACTCACGGATGAGTCCTGGGCGGGCTCAGAGGAGGAGGCAGGGGAGGAGGAGGATTGAGTATACGCACTTGCTTCCCGCTGTTTCTGCTGCTCGACCAACTGCTCTCGGAACTGCTTCGATTTGTCGTTGAAGGAGGCGACGCTCTTGGGCGCGGCGCTGACGTCGGCCATGGAGGGCACCTTGAGCTGCTGGCTCGTGGAGCTGAAAGCTCGCAGCGCGGAACGCGGGGTCGCCGCGCCGGCTGCTCGCACCAATCGCTGGCTCAGCATCTTTGCCTTTGGTGGTTTGGGGAGGGGATTGGGCAAAGAAAGGATGTTTTTGGAGAAGGTAGGTGAGATGAGGAGGTATATGGTGACCAAGAGGTGTCGTTTCTTCTTCTGCTTGAGCCAAGGGACGTTTTGTCTACTCAAACAAAGGTGACAAAACGTGCTCTTTGTTCAGCAAGAACAAGCCTCTGGTACGTGATGTGAAGGAGGAAGGAGAGCGAATTCGATACGTCTCGATCGGCAAGAAGCAGGAAGCACCCGAGAGCAGGGATTTATCACAGGACGGGAAGCAAGTCGGCGTGCAGAAAGGGCGTTTGGAGGCGGCGGCGGCGGACGGACGATTAGGTTGGTACGTTGGCTTGTGGTGGTAGTAGCAACCTATGCAAAGGTAGCGGTTAGGTGTCAAGGTGGTGGTGGTGGTCTCGCCCGTGCTTGAAATGGCAGTCTAGGCAAATGGGATGGATATAATTGGATGAGTTGAGGAGGAGGTCGGGCTACAACCGTGCAACAGTGGTGTGTGTCTCTCGTTCTCTGCAGATTCCCCCGCACTTTCTGGTAAAGTGAAGGCGGTAGTAGCAGAGGAGTGAAAGGAGAGAGCTTCAGGAGGAGGAGGTGTGTGTGTGTGGCAGGGACAAGATGAATGTGACACAAGGGAGGAGATGTTTGGCTTGCTACACTACGGGTTCGGGGTCTGGCACCACCACCATGCCAATCCCTAGGTCCCAAGTCCAACTCAGCCCCCAGAACCTGGGGAAAGCTCTCGCCGCGGCCTGCCACGGCACGGGGGAACGGGTTGCGGGTGAGCGAACCTGGAAGCTGAAGCTTGCTAAGGTCACGGGTGGGTACGTATCACCTCCAAATGCGCCCAGATGCGGAGAAGCGTCGAATGATGTCACATGAGAACAGGGGTAGAAGGGGGTGGATCCGACCTTGAGGAGACAAACGGAAGATCATTGCTGCGGTAATCCGATTATGCTCTTTTCTCGTGACAACCTGAAAGTAACAGGCCCGTGCCCGGAAAAGACCAGAAACGGACGATACTCCACTATTTCTCGTCTGTCGCGGCCATGGCCTCAGGCCACACTTTGCTCGGCTACGGGTCCAGCCGCCGAAACCGAAAGCTCAATCGGAGGAAAAAGGCTCGTTTTGATAGCTTCACATCGAACCTCCGAATACCGCCCGCCATCTAGACCCCTTCAATTTCCCCCCTGCAACCCACATCACAACCGTCAAGATGACCTGGCTCGGAGCTCGCGCACTCAAGAAGTACCCCACGCCCGTCCGTACGTATTCCTCGAAGACCGTCCCCGCGAACCCGTCGCGCAATCGCTGACCTCCCTTACAGTTAAGCCGATGGCGCCTTTCTTCGCTGCCGGTATGTCCGAGTCCCCCGATGAACGCTGAATTCCGAGCGAACCAACTTGCAAAGAACACGAGAAAGAGAGCGAGAGGACTAGCGAAATGAAGCGCAGCGTGTGCTAATAATACTGCAGGTCTGGTCATTGCCTACGGCATCAACTCCGCCCAGAACGCCATGATGAAGTGTACGTCGCGCAAACGAATAACCCCCGAAAGGACGAATACTAATGTTATATGCAGCCGACGAGTGGAAGAACGATGCCCGCAACCCTCTCGCCAAGAAGCATTAAATTCGCAATGGAGTAGCCCAGGCTATACGGGGAGAAGGCCGAGCAATGGGAAACGTGTCGAGGATATAGACCCGCCAACGCGTATTCTTCATGGACGCTGTATCATAGACGCACGGCTCGCATTCAATTGAGCTGTTGTACTAATGTACCGATGCCACACGTGCCATAACACTCCGGGAATGCAAGCGCTCTTTGCCTATGGGGCGTGTGAATGCGTCAACAATGCTCATGCAATTGCACTGTGTTCCTTCACTATACGATGAGTTCGAAGGCAGCATCCGCTGAAATCCATTGAGTGGTCGCGGAGATTTCAAAGTCGATAACCAAGAGGGGAGGTCGTCAACTCTAGAGTTGAGTCGTGTCTTCACAAAGCGAGGCTCGGACGGACGGCATACGCATCACGTGACAATGAACAGTCGACAACTCTACCATTGAACATGACAGAACGAATTAGTAGATGCCGTACTGTCCTAGAATCCTATAAAACTTGAATTGACCATATAAGACTTCATCGGACTTCGAGGAGTGATACGATCGGTTATCGTGGCTCAAGTCCTTATCGCCGTGTCAACTCTTCTGCTTTTCGGCGAAGAGTCAACTGTGGATTTGTCAGTATCCACTTGCGTCTGTCACTGAACACCTCGACCTCTCAACACGCCCTTTGAACTACATCATAGATAAGTACACACACACATGATAACTTCACTTCCCTTACGTCTTAGGGCTGGTGCTTCTGTCTCTAGAACACCTCAGTTTTCTGCCAAGAGCGGCAATAATACCCACTCATACTTCAGCTATATCATTACCTGCAAAATGTCGACGGCAGCAGGCGCAACCCCGAACGGCTCAGCAGTAAAGAAGCCCAACGGAAAGAAAGAGATTAAGATTCTCATGCTTCACGGTAAGATATGTGTCCTGTTCTCGTACTTCTCATAGAACACCAAATTTTCGTCCAGGCCCAACCTGTAATCAACATTTCTACTCCATGACCCCTCTCCAAATCCCATCAAAACCTCACTAACACTCCAAGGCTACACCCAATCCGGGCCCCTCTTCCGCTCAAAAACTCGCGCCCTAGAGAAACTCATCGCAAAGTCTTTGGGCCCCTTTAACCTCGTCCCAACACTCTTCTACCCAACTGGACCCTCACAGCTCTCCCCGCGCGACATCCCAGGCTTCGTCCCGGACGAATCCGCCAACGGCGAGGACCAAGAAATCGACGCCTGGGCCTGGTGGCGCAAGGACGAGTCCTCGGGCTCCTACCGCTTCCTGGATCAGGGTATCTCCACCGTCGCCGACGCGGTCCGCGAGGCCGGCGGCGTCGACGGCGTGGTGGGTTTCAGCCAGGGCGGTGCCTTTGCCGCGCTCCTGGCGGCCATCTTGGAGGGCCCGCATCGCGATGAGAAGATGCCGGAGGACCTGAAGGCTTCAGCGCAGGCGCTGCGGGAGGCCAACGGTGGAAAGCCGTTCAAGTTTGCAGGCATCTACTCTGGTTTCTTTGCGCCGCCCGCGGAGTTGCAGTGGGCGTATGAGCCCAAGATTAAAACGCCTACGCTGCACTTCCTTGGTAGCCTGGATACTGTGGTTGAGGAATCAAGGAGTCAGGGGCTTGTGGACCGTTGCGAGGAGCCTATGGTCGTTGTCCACCCTGGCGGCCACTACGTGCCTATTACCAAGGAGTGGGCCATGCCGCTGATCGGCTTCCTCAAGAAGATTGCCGACGAAGAGGCATCGAAAGCAAACATTTAGATACAGGTCATACATCAACTTACGAACGAATGAATTGGGTAGGGGTTTAGAAGGGTACATCAAGGGCATTAGTTC